TTACGATAAAATAATTTTCTGATAACAAAATCGATACTTGTAATTTTATATAATTTTATAATTTATATTATATGTGTATTGAGAAACTCTATCTTATATTTACTTTAAAGAAAATATATTATTTTGTTATACTACGTAAATCTTTTTCCTATTAATTTTAAAGTATAATATAAATTTTACGTAAAGAAAAATATTGGACAAATATATATTATACGATAAAATAATTTTCTGATAACAAAATCGATACTTGCAATTTTTGTAATCTTATAATTTCTATATATTGAAAAAACTTTATCTTATATTCCTGTTAGAAAAGATATTATTTTGTTCTGAAAAGGTATAGCATTTCGTCGCAAAATATCATCCTGAACATTAGGGATTTAGCGTAATCAACAGCGGCGTGTCACTTTTGACGTGTCAGTTGTATTCGAGAGTGAACATCAGTTTCCAAACAGTTAGTTAGGAGTCAGATGTATACTCTAAAGTGATGTGTTTCCGGACATGGTTCTAGTTATGCAACTAGTTACTATCGTTTTCGAATGTGCCGTCAGAATCCCAGGCGGCAACGGTATGCCACTCTTGATAACAGCTGATTACGATGAGCTAGTCAAGATAACGAACACGCATTGATATTACATTAATGCGTATCCCAATATCATCGATATTTTTCAGCCTCATTCTCGCACAACAGATGACTGATAAATGTATGTCGTATGTATTTGATTACAAATAAGTTAAATGAGAACAGCAGCAACAAATAAAAATACATTTTTCTACAGATTTGTGTTTCATTCTCAACCATCCTTTCGTATCGATCCGAGAGATTTATGCAGCACAAAGACCTGAGCAAAGAGTTCTCGCTTCAATAAGTCAAGGTAGTAAGACCAAGGGACTAACCTTGTGTTCTGAAAATATTATCCTTCACAAGGTCTTTCAGAGCCCTTAAGGGATGTATCTACAGCGCAACTGCTATTAGGGGAGATTACGTCGCCCCTGCGTTAACATTTGTGACGTTTGCATTATGAAGATGATAACAGGGCAGATTTCTCTTAGATATTAAAGGAATTAATCTTCGTCAAATTGCCAAACATTACCGCGGAATTTATCAGAGAAGAACAAGGCGATAAAATGAATTTTTTTCAGTTAAAAGACCCGCAAAAATAATTTTTATGTCTGTCTGCGATCCAGAGTGTGAAAACCATAATTTTTCGAGCGGAATTAAATAAAAAATTTTCGATAGAAAAAATGCATTTTCTTTTTAATCTCTAAAAATGTGGTATATAATCTAAAACAATTGGCAAATATTTTTCTGGAAAATATATATCACAATGCGATATAAATCCGTAAATAAAAAATTTGTAGTATTAAGTTTTATTTATTTCCACATATAAATTTGTTTCTAGAATAATAAAAACGCGATAAAATGTATAATGTTTATTTTCCTTATCTATATTTTCATTATCTGAATAGCCTTCAAAAGTAAATTCACCGAAATTCAACCGACGATAAGATTTCGAATTTACACACAAAGCTCTTTTAAAGCTCAGATGTAACTTTAGCTTTTCTATTGAGAATTATCTTTCAAAAAACGCCAACGTGTTCATTCTTGACAAATAAAATTCCATGTATAAATTTCGCGAAATATTGCCATTGTATCTTATGGACATCAATGCAATAGCAAACTGAATCCACGATACTACTAATATTTTCAATTCTTAATCTTAAACGAGTGCTTAAAAGTCTTCACAAATTTATTTAAAAAAATAGAAAGATATTTAATCTATTTGCAAAAAAAAAAACGAACGCTCTACATATTTTTAATTTCTCACTTTATACCTTTAAATTCGAAATAACATCTATTTTAATACACAAATACATTTCGCGCGAATATAAAGGGCTGAAAATACGGTGTTGCAATAAGTCCCCGATTAATCAAACTTGATTGCTTTCTCTCTCTCTCTCTCGCTTTCTCTCTCTCGGATCGATGAAAAACGAATAAATCTATCGCGCCGTGAAAATAATGAATTTCGCGTTAAACGACTCATCGGTATTTCCGGCGAAGGCGCGGAGGAGATGAGAGGAAGACGAGTTATCTGTCGCGATCGTTATCCGCGTTCCGCCTCGAATCTGCCACACGTGCAAATAAGAGCGCGAGAGAAATTCCTCCCTTATGGAACGGCGGCGAGCCGCGGGTTTTACGGGTGTGTGCGCTAAAAATAGCGACATCCATAAAACTGCTCGCGCTCGCGAGGACCACCACGCGAATTCGCGTGGATCACGACGATACACATCGCATATTTGCTCATCGTATCTTCTGCATCTTAGAAACACGCTCTTATTTAAGTACACCCATATATATGCATACATATATATATAGCTATATACATACATTTATTTATATATATTATATATTTTTTATGTATTTATAATTATTATTATTATTTTTTATAGTATTTATTATTATTATATTATAAATTTTATATGATAAATAATATTATATGTTATAATATATAATATATTATATATATGTATAGTAATTATATTATATATATATATATGACATATTTACATATGTATCCATGCATGTATATTTGCAAGTATAATTTCTAACTGTGTATTTATCGCAGAAATATTGAGAATTATTTATGAAACGCGCAGAAAGAAGCGCGGCGTCTCATAAGAGATAGAAAAACAGAGACAGAAAGCTACTCACGAGGTCCGTGCTCCGAATGAAAACAGATGGTCCGCCGTCGAGGGCGATCATTTCGGCTTCCCGGTGCGCGTTGGCGCGTTTCTCCCCTTCGGCGTCGTTCACCAGCGACGACGGCACCTTCCTCGGCGCGACGACACCGCGCTGACGCTCATGACTGACCACGACGACGACGACGACGAGCTCGTGCGCCTCTCGTTTCCTCGCTTCCTCGTGCACGTCCCCTACGTGGCCTCGACGCGTGTCTCACTCCGTGTGTGTGTGTGTGTATATATATATGTGTGTGTGTTGTGTGTGGATGCGTGACACACTCACGCAGGGAGTCGCGCGATCACGCGTGCCCGCGGCGGCCGCGGTCGATCCTCGGAATCCATGACAGGTACGCGGCGCGATACGTTGCACGAAGAGCGGTGCCAGGCGCGAGCGTGGACCGCATGCGCCGAGCCGGGACGGAAAGTCATCCGCGCTCTGTGTCGTCGCGAACGCGCCCAGCACGTAGACGAGAAAACTCGCGCCCCGGAAAAGCGCTACGTTCGAAGCGTTCGACTTTTCCCGCCTTTTTTCCGAGAGCCCGTGGCATTCGAAATTTCTCGACGAATCCCTCAAATTTTTATGTATGATCACAGAAAGTGTTACATAGATTTGAAAACCGATATAAATATTGCGAGAGAAATTGTCATTACCGGTTATGTCCAGGAATGTCCAGGAATATTGAGAAATGCCGCCATGTTGGATTTAATCAATATATATATATATATATATATATATATATATATATATATATATATATATCGCGATGCAATTCGGATTATATTCGAGCGACACTGAGCGAGGTAGAGAGGATGTAGAAAGAATAACATACCGTGAATTTGTTATTTCACCGCACGCGTATCGTCGTCTATCTTAATTAAATCTTGATATCTTATCGATCGCAAAAATCGACGCGGTCAGCTTCTTTGCGTCCTTCAACGCCGCCGTCGTGGTTTGAAATGATCTTGCTCGCGTATCGCTTGAGCGAGACATTGCGCGCGTATCGATATATCTCGATAGTAGCGCGCGTATCGACATATCTCGATAGGCGCTTAATTTCAAAAATGGCGTACATCGACATATATATATATATCTTCTTCTTATACTTGAATCATTTAATATTTTTTATATTATATATCTTGGACATTTTTCGATCGTCGTGTAATTATCGTTTTATAGACTGTCGATTAATTATTGATTAAAGACAAGTGTTCTATGTATTAAATGGTCTGATTACGATTTTATCTCTGATTGCACGCATGAACGATTTTTTTGTTTACTATCATTCAAGCATAGCTTATATAATTTTTTAAGTTTCTGATTAATAAAACAATAATTTCATGCATAATTCACAAATTAAATTATAATTAATATTTCATTGCCTTTGCAAATTATTTTCTAGAGCAAATTTTGTTGCGTATGATAAATAGCGGATTGTATAATTTCGAGGAAAGCAATGTAATTGAATTTACGCATGGGCAACAATTTATTTTAACACATATATTTAACGCATGTGAGCGTTCTTTTAGAGAGACAAAGTCAATTACGTCGGTATAATCGATTAATTAATGTTTCTTTCTAATCTCATGCATAGATAACAGATTATCAGTATCGCACATTTCATTGAGCGCATCGCAACCTTATACAACTTATTTTGCTCCATCTCTGATACTCCAAAGAGGCCATAATTTTTTCTCTCTCCCTCTCTCTCTCTTTCTCTCTCTCTATATATATATATATATATATATAAAAGTATATATATAATTAATCATATAAGAAATAAGTAATTAAAAATTCATGTATATATCGATATATTATGATACAAAAATTAATTATCATGATTATTAAAAAAAAGAATTCTTTATATATAATAATATTATATCCTACAAATATATTTATTTTAAAAACGTAGATCGTCGTATTGTATTAATTCCAGAGGAAAATCAAAATTTGTTTTATTATCTATCTAAAAATAATATAACATATTTACCATTCTTATTATTGCTTTGGCGTAAAAACGAAGTAAGAACAAATAAAAGTCCCATTAGAATGTTTAAGAAAACATATAAGCTCATGATCATACTTAATTATTATCTTCAGCAACAAATTTTGCATTAAAATTCTTAAGATTTATAAAATCCAGTTTGCATAATATGGTGCAGTGGCTAAGTTGAAAAATCAATTAATATGAAAAAAATGGATATGTGAAAAAATTGGCACAAAAAATAACGTATTCGATATCATCATTAATTGCTTAATATTTCCAATTTAGAGAATCTATTTCTATTTTGAATTCAAAAATGTATTTTCACATTAAATTGATATAGTAACAGCCAAATAAAGACAATTTAAATAAACATTTTACCCTAATAGGCAATGCAAAAAAATGTCTTACAGTTTTAATCCTGTGCGAATATAACAGAATTCCTCCTCCTAATTGTTACATTGATACATTCTTCGTCATTTCGCTACGTGTTGTATACAATTCGAGATTAGCTGTTCCAAACTTTTTTTTAAACAGATTGTTTCGCTTCGAATATGCGCTACAATGAAATAAGATTCAATATCGATACTTAGTTGCAATTTCCATATTGAGATTTACTTCTTTACAATTATTTATGCCTGTTCGACATTATTCAAAGTTATTAACAGCGTGTCTCGTACAACCCGCTGCGTCCTATGTAGCGGACCCATTTGATCACATCGTGATCGGAATAATTCAATTTGGACTCGAATACTTTCAAGTAGCGCACTTTGAAGCCGGACGGCGCAAACGGCACCTCGAAGTTCATCGATATCGGCGGCCTCGTCCACTTCTTCTTTGTGTCCGTCTCCAACAGATCGATCTCGGCGGACAGTTGGGTCTCCTTCATGCCGGCCATACGCTTGATCTTCCACACGATCGCATTCTCCGACGCCTTGTACTTTGCCTTACCCTTTAGACATATTAACTGCACGCCGGCGGTGTTCAACGGCGTCGGGACGCGGACCTCGATTTTCTGCCCTAGCAATGACGGCTTGAAGTTTGATTTCAGAACCGCTTTCACCTCCATCTTCGTTCGGCCTACCTCGCGCACTAATGGTATCACGCGGAAGGGCAATGATATATCCTTCGTGGTACGATATCTGTAATAAAGACAAGGAAATATATGTTACATGATGAAAATCGCTTGAATTTGTATACATCTTCTTGAACGCGTTTCACCTCATCAACTCGAATTCACCGTCCGGTGGTATAAAACTAATGGAATGTTCGGTCTCGAATTTGCTAAGCTTAACGCATTGATGAAATTGGCAGTCATCAATAACGACAACCGGTTTGCCGGATCTGGCTCCTGTAGGATCGTCGCCACCGCCCCCGAGTCCGCCGCCTCCTTTCATGCCCTTAGATTCCATCACGATCTTGTCGTTGATTCCGAACTTGCATTCCGGCATACCGGACAAGTAGGATTTCATTACGACCTGAGCAAAGGATTTTTTATTACAAATCTGCAAATAATCTTAAATTTTTTAATGTAAATAATTTACCTTTCCGGCAACGTGTGCGCTAAGAACCTGGCCCTGAGGACTCATCAATAAATTCACGTATTCAAGCACATCTAGGAAGAGTTCATTGCGTCTGTACTTAATGCCCTCTCGTCTCCATCCAATCTGACCAGTGACTTGTGATGTTATTTGAGCCTGTTCCTCCTTGGTGGCTGACTTTACTCCTTGTTGAGTAATAAACGTTTTCAACACTCCTGTGTCACAATTCTGTGGATATCCAAAGTCGAGTATCTCTGCAAGAGGATAATGAAAGTTGAGAAAAAGATTACACATAATTATTGACATATCATAAATTAAATGCTTACCATCAAGCAGCTCATAAATAAGCACAAAATTATTCTTGATGTTCTCCTCTGATATCTTGCCAAAGTATGACTGCATAACATCTATGATCTTCAGCAACAATTCAAATACCATAGCTGCATTAACATTTTGCTTGGTGACAGCGGCTAACCAGATATTAGCACGCTTTATATGAAAAAACGATGTTCTGGCAATGTTGGTTACTGGCGAGCGTACTTGTTGTCGTGCATGGATGACATTCACGCGAAATGCATCCACTGCATTCCGGCCAATATCATCCCGATACACTCGAGAGATCAGCACCTCTCCCTTATGATTGTAAACGAACAAACCTCCTATCATTTTGACGAAGGCTAATTAGCCTATTGAGTCAAAATCAATCTGCAAGAAGAAACAAATTATGAATGACAATAAAAAATATACTTTTACTAATTTTGTAATAATAAATGCCTGTTACATAACAAGCATAATTAAATTTTTTCTACATATCCAATTTAATTTTTAAAAAATAACCAATAACTCTGCAACATTTAGATCAGAGATATTTTATATATTTAATATATTAATATTAGAGATATAATATTTTTCTAAATTTCTAATAAGGAACGACAATAAAAAATATGCTCTTACTAATTTTGAAATAATAAATTCTTGTTACATAACGAGCATAATTAAATTTTTGTCTATACATCTAAATTTAATTTTTCAAAAACAACCAGCCAATAAATCTGCAACATTCAGATTAGAGATAATATTTTACATATTTAATATATTACTATTAGTTCATATTCTCTTCTAAATTTCTGACAGAGAATGCTCCGAAATTTGTCAAATGCTCCAAAATGTGCATAATATTACAGAATCGCATAGTACAGTAAAAATATAACAATTTAATATTCCTTCATTTAAAAAATGCATGAAAAATCACAAAAAAATCTCGCACATCGCTCAAGGAGAAGCCTTTAATTAGAGATAAGGGCGTCTTTCGCGACTGATGCAAGTAGCCAAATAGGGTCGAAATAAACGTCCTTATTTCTTAAATGACACTTGGAGCTGTCCGTCCGTCCGGCACGTCTTGCGAACGGTTAATATCGATCGAACGTGGAGCTCTTTGCTGGCAAATCGTGGCGCTCGATGGAGAAACGTCATCGAAACGCCGGCGTCGAGTTGGATCCGGAATCTCACTTACACATGACACCTCGAGGATGGTCCCGACTGGAGTTCCGTCTACAATTCCTCGTAACCGCCCTTCAAGATATGGTGCGATACCCGGAGCAAAGCTAATAACCAGCGAGTGACGAAAGCAACACCCACTTTTTTCCGATATTGCCAACGAGAAACGACGCGAACAACGAGAATCGAATAGATCGACAACCGGATGTGCGATATACCGCAGCGCCGTTCGCGGGAATAAAGGAAAAGAAGGATCAATAATATAGTTTAGAAATGGTAATGTACCCTTTTAATTTTTAAATATTTATGTCATTATTAAAATATTTTCGCACACACATGTGGATGACACATTGTGACATATATTTATGATAAGAAATAAAACGATTTTTCAAAAATATCTTCAGAGAGAGAGAGAGAGAGAGATAGAGAGAGTAGAGAGATATTAGAGATGCTTCTCTCTCGCTTCACCATATTGCGCACCGATGGACGGCGGAGGGCAAACTGTCATCTGTCATGCGCAGCTGTTTTCCCACTCTGCGCTCCGTCACGTGACGCCCCCCACTCCGCGCCCCGTCACGTGACCCGTGATAGCGTCGCCTGGCGGTCAAATGTCAACCAGATTCAAAGTCGCACGCGTCTAGATGTACTCCTCTTTTTCGTCATGATAATTATAGGTATTGTACGAAAAATCTTTAATTAAAGCAGTATTTTGTGCGGTGACGTTAAAAGCATTGAAGCATGCGAAACGCAGTTATAAAGCACAACGCGTAAAATACTTTGATCAAAGCGATATTACGACTCGTGAATAGTGTTTCGCAGCGACAACGAGACATTTTGTGTTTTATTTTAATTGTATGTATGACCTATTCTTACATTACATTTCTTTCCGAGGAACAATCTATTAAAGTACATATACGTATAATGCATCTTCGCAAAATAAATGATCGATATCAATGTAACAAACTTTGCACACACATCTCTTCCCGCGAGTTTCTGTTTCCAATTCGCCTTTATCGGAATTTTAGTACACGCGTGATTTAAATACGCATTTTGAAATATAGAAAGTGAAACTTACACGATAACATCTAACGTAGCCCTCTGAGGTTCCATGTATGTTTTTATTTGGATTAGGCATAGTAGTTTTTTTTATCAAATACTAAATACTTGATCAAGGATTCGTCGAATAGTCAACTGCTGTTTATGATTGCAGAATCGAATAATTTGATAATTATTTATTTTTTTATTTTGAAAATTAATTACTTTTTCTTTCACAGACTGAAGAAAAATGTATGGAAGAAGAGTTTACGAAAGATGTGAGAATTTTGAAGCTGTTTAATAATTCATTGAAGACATTGTTATTCATCATATAAATATAAAACATCCAGCATATGGCATCAGCATTCTAGAAAAAATTCGAGAATAAAGGAGACAACCAACGAAGAATTGTTTAAGTCTGCTGTGGACGACTTGTACATTATCTTTACAAAGCTTCTATCTGTTCTAAACATGTTGGAATATTTGAAACAAGGATGCGACTACAGATTCAGCGATAAGTGTCGAAAATGATATAAAATTGCCTGTAATGTGTGTATTCTGCAATATAGACAACTTTTTGCAAGGTAAAGATTTATTTTAATGTGTTCATATTTATGATTTATCCAATATTTATGAAATATATACAGAGAAATATGTTTTGAAACAAATATATGAGTTACTTGGAGATTCAGTATATTAGCTGTACTCATGCAGGGAGTCGACAAGTGTCAATCAAATGATTGTTTATATGTTTTACAAGACAAACAGAAAACTAATTGAGCTGAAATTATTGGAGAGACTCGTAGGAAATGCATTCACACATTGTTAACTCATATTTTGATATCAAGAGTCATATAATTCAAAAAACATGTGACAACATTTAACTTGTCATAATAGATTTTATTAGAAAATGTATGTAAATTTTTATTTCTCTTTTTCTTTTCATTGATCTTATTATATAATTTATAATAATTTTTATCATAATGATAGTTATATGTATGATGAAATATTTGACTTTTTACAGTGGTTTGAAACTGTTGTCATGTTAGCGGATAAGAATCTATTTTAGTGACTTTTTGGAAACTATTGCACTCAGTGTGATGATGAAATCTGTAGTGCTATGAATAGAAAACAAAAATTATCTCTATTTTCTATGCCAAGATAAGGATCAATCATTTATTCAACATAATAACAGGTCTTACATTAAATGTCTTACATTAAATATGAACTATATATGTATATTACATAGGCATAAATGTCATATATACATAAATATAATTTTTTAATTTTATATTATAATTGAGATATGTACAGGGGATGTATGTAACAAAATTAATTTATAAGTGACAATGAGATGCTAATGTTTTCTGAAATCTTAGAAAGATCTGATTATGCGTGAATCATAATATACTGTATGCTGTACTTACGAAAGAAAATTTATGATTTTGCAATAAAAGTGCATATAAAAATATATATATATATATAAATACTGGTTGTCGTTGAAGAAGACTGATAACTGAAACTAGCAAATGCAGACTCAATTGAATAAGTATATGAAGGCATTCAAGCTCTTGAAGGGGAACAGTACGCTCTGCTGGAAGTCTCATTTAGGAATGAGCCTGGAAATCAAATTAGTAAAAAGAAACTTGAACATAAACGCCGATTCTTGTAGCTTTAGGATAAAAGTAATTACATATTTGGTAATATTATCAGAAGTAATGACAATAAAATTATCACCAATTAAATAAGTTGAATTATAGATGAATAAACATTCTGCGTGATCGTAAGATCTTCTGAAAGGAACTTTCAATGAAGTATATGTTCTGCAAGAAGAAAATACGTCCAAGATTTCTTTATCGATAGACATCGTCGAGGAAAAAGAAACTAAAAGCGTTATAGGCTTGGTCAGCGATTAAAAAGAAGAGGAACTGCAAGTTTTTTGTTCTATACATTGTCGGGATGTTGACAAATCTAGATTCGATACCGATAGAAAGAATTCATCAGACGTTGAAAATGTTTGCATCTTAAATATCGGACATCGTGAAATATGGTTTACCGGAATTGAGACAATTTCTGAATAGGAAAGTTAGGAAACATTGCTTATTTTGTTCTCTAATAGTTTTAGCGATTACTGAAATCATAAGTTTCCATTGTCTTACTTTTAATTCTCTACATTTTGATAAATGAATAAAATAACACATATGTACTTAGTAATGATAGAAGAAAATATAATTTGTGATATTACATTTAAGAGAGCAATATCTACTTTCTTATCGTGTAAAAGTATTTTTTTTGTTTTATAGAAATAAGAATTTTGCCTAAAATATCAAATTAATAAATAATCAATGCATATGTACATAAATAGAAAATAGAAATCCTATTCAGAAATTTTGTTTAGTTCAGTTTAAGTTCTTTTAGTCCATTGAAAGAAAGTTGTCGAATATTGAAAAAATATTTGTATTGCCGTTTATCATAGTATTTATAATTTGTGTATAAACTATTTTTTATTTGCACTTTTATTGAGAATCATAAATTTTCTTTCGTAAGTAACGTACAGTATATTATAATTTACACATAATCAGATCTTTTCAAGATTTCAGAAAACAAGGTAACATCTCATTGTCACTTATATATTAATATTGCTACGTATATTCTGCACATATCTCAATTAAAATAAAATTGTAAAAAGATTCTTCTTTACACACAATTGCAATCGAAATCGGAAAACTATTTTCTGTGATAAAATTATTAATTAGTTATTAACTTTTACAGTAGTTTAATGTATATATTTTTATTTGATTGATTTAAGAATCTGAATGAGAAAGATGCATAAATGCAATTAAAAATTCAAGTTTTATAGCGATTTTTAGGAACAATCATTATTTCTTTCATCTTAATTAGAGTCACAAATATATTTCGTCTGATGCTTTATTGTTTGATTCATCGAAGAGCTAAACATAATTAACATTTAGAATTTAATCCTATATTTTTTTCATGAATCTATGACATGAAGAATATTAGATAATATACAAGCCTTTATAAAGGAAATATTAATAATGTAAATTATAAGATGTCAATTCTCGAAAAGTGCACAATGATATCGTTCAAACATTTTTAGTCTTAAAAACAATCTCGATATCTAGTCGGTTTCAGTTAAACTTGTTTTTATCATTTTTCATCTATATATATTATCGCAAGAAATTGTAATTTTGAAATGATTTAAATACAATTCGAGATAGTATTTCAGAAACAATTCCAAATCTTCTAACATAATAAGAGAAATTTGGTATAAAGGAATGAACTAAAGAGATTATTTATTAGATTAAGTGTAAATATTAAATTTGTTGTATAATTTATATATCTGTGCTTCCATTCTTTCTTAACATTATTTATCTATTCCTTGCAGCTACAAGATGATTAATGCATACGACTACCTGTTGATTCTGCGCGTACGTGACTACCTGTTGATTCTTCATGCACGTAACCATCTGTTGATTTTGTGCGCATACAACTATCCGTTAATCCATTGGGAAAACATGATTATTCTTATTCTCCCAAGCATCTTGTGGATTTTCATCTTCATCAAGAGATATCAGCTTCAGATAAAGTGTAAGAATAGTTTGTTATTAATTTGCTTTATGCGCAAATTATTTATTGCGGTAACTGTTTTCAAACGCAAATTTATTACTTCCATTCGTTAGCTGTCAAATGATAATAAAAATGCTGACTTGCCATTTTACACTTGCACGTGCAAACATTTGAGAAGAGATGCAAACGGATAAGTATATTAGATGCAAAAGAAATACTGCATAATGCGAGTCATATCTGCGTGACTCTTTTAATGAAATCAGCTGACTAAACGAATTATTAATGAAGAAAGAGAGAATCGGAAAATTCCACTCACGCTATGTAAAAATATTTAATTTTCGAGTAAATATATTTTACGTTTTATTGAAAAATAAACACGTCTGATTAAAATTATAAAATCAATATAAATTTGAGAAACGCGCAAAACATGATCTTTTTATATTTGATTTTATATTTTATATTCTAAAAAGAATAAAAGAGACGGGAAATAAAATGCGATAAAATAAATGCTAATTTAAATGACAAACTCATATTCTCCTCATCGGATACTGTCAATGTGCTTTCGGTATATCTGTTTCCGCAAGAATTCCGAGAGGATCCGGTAAGAATCCGTCGTATCCCATTTCCTGCTCCTCGGAAGCAGAGAAAGAGGATTTAAAGCGTCCGTAAATGGAACAGATCAATTGCGCTTCGTTTCCGCAGAACTCGTTTGTCAAGAAAAACTCCCATTGAATGTCTTCATTTCCATTTTCCATTTCATTAACGTTCTTCGAGTGTAGGTGAAATGATCCACGATTCGATTGACGTTCCTAATTGAAAGTATCGTTCATTTTTATCCGCTTTTAAGACGGTTCAGCTTGTCTCAAGTGGATTTTAAAATCTCCTCGAGATGAGCACTCAATCTTTTCGACGGGTTCGGTCAAGTGCTTTTGATCAAAGATTTTATCTTAAAATTAGCAGTTCTTTCTTGTTATATATAAATGATTTATATAGCAATTTTATGGAATCAGAATTAATATATGTATGTATGCGAAATATTAAATTATACAAGTATTTTTAAATATTTTAAAGATTAATTAATTATTTATTAGACACGATTATTAATGTATCACTTCGTTACTTAATTTATTTATTTGAATCTGCGATTCGATTATTTTCGCGTATTCTCAATCCGAATTTTTTATTTTAATTGTACCTATTTATAATTTAAATATTTTTAAAAGATAATTATTGTATAATTTATAATTTGAGAATTTCTGTCACCTCGATTCTTACTTGATTATATTTTAATAAATTACGCATATTAGCGCTTGATTATTTTAAAATGCTTGTACAATTTAATATTCCGCGTATATATGTATACATGCATATATGTATTTATAACTTATTGTTAGATATATAACTTTGAAAAATCGATGTATGCATATATAAAACTTCTATTTATAGTACACATTATTTTAAACATTAAGTTTTTTATATAATATATCTATTTTTTATGATATACATATATATCATAATAAATAATAAATAATAAATTTTTTGTGGTATCTGAGAACAATCTAAATTAATTTTAAACAATCTCAATCTTTCATAGGTATTCCAAAGATTAAACAAAGCGCTCCGAAATCATTTGGTCGACTAGCAAGTTGAAGCTGTTTAAGATGCATTCGGATCATTAACAAGATGATAGCGACCATAATCAGAAATACCAATCAGCTGATAACGACAGATCGATATATTTAGCTTTCCTATTCTTGTATCAAGGTATGCCTTCATAATTTAATAATGTATCAACAAATTATTTATTTCATTCCTCCCTCTTTTTTAATAATTCAAATATTGAACTCAAAAAATTGAGTTTTAATTAGAGAATTAATGAGTTCCTCCTCTTCCCTTCTAATGCGGGAAAAATATCAAAGATAGAAAAGCACACATATGTATGTGTATATATATATATATATGTATGTATATATATATATATATATATATATATATATATATATATATAATAATTTTAATGCTATAAAGATCACGCTTTTAATAATCATCTTTAATATCACGCAAATTATTTAAAAAAAATTGTTATATAAAAGTGCCTTCTTCTCTCCAATTTTTTATAATTAATACAATTTTCAATACTTTGAATTCCTAGATATATTTTGCAATATTTAACTTATAAACGCGAGTATATATTATATAATATAAAATGAGAGAATCTTGATAGTTTATCTCGAATATATTTTATTATACATACATTATTGAAAATATATACATGGTAGACTGCAGCTTCTCGAAGCAGCGAAGTGTCAATATAATTAGCTACATTCGTATGCGAATCTGTTTCTTTTTTTTATTTTTTTTCCTTTGTTCGACGACGTCCTCTCGATAGCCAAGGTCTTTCGAGGTTGTCGGGAGGCACGTGTAGGCCGACACGTGTAGACCATGGATGTTGCACGTGAAACATTTTTTGGAGTTTCCGTTTATTTCTTAAAACAGCTGATTGATAGTGGCCGATTCGCCTTGATCCGATCAATTCGGCGAATCGTCCTCGGTTTATCACGACTATTACGAGACTGATCGTGTCAATCGATACACGCAGCGGATATCGGGATACTTTCGCTGACTTCGATTAATATCTGAATCTTTATCTTTCTCTCTCTTTCTCTCTTCTAGACACGCATACACACACATACAGGCAAACACGCTTGTGTACACTCATCTCTCGCCCTTTCACCCTTTACTCTCGCTCGTGTTTTCTCTTTCTCTCTCTCTATCTCTCTCTCTCTTCATTCTCTTCCTATTCACAGCCTTCCTATTCAGACCTACTAAGCCTTCTCTCTTGCACAGCCAGACATTTACACGATCATTCGGCATCAACGCTTGGATCTCTTACTTCCTTAATTATCGTTTACAACACACGATTCAAAAAACGGTGACAACTGTGGATTATTATAATTAATTAAATTGTAAGTGGCGATCATCGAAAGTGTGTGATGGTACTTCGTCTCTTTTCTCAGAGAAATTCAAGCGAATGTCGTTTATCCGAAAATCGTCAAAAGCAAGTTTCGCACGCCCAAGGATCAAAGGGATTCCCTCTTCGCAGGCGGCTTCTTACGGTCATCAAACCGCGTGATTCGTTACATACATAGCGTAAAAACGCAAAACATAATTAACGATGACAATAATAATACAATGATAATTCCCGATCGATCGTCAACGACTATAATTAACTCCTTCCTTCGCGAACTAGCCTCCGGCGAACTGTCATCATCGCGACCTGTCCTCAACCCGACTCCATCCGGAGTTGCCGAGTTAAACCTTGGTTCAGCCAAACAACATTCTATATACGAGCGTTACAATTTATGTTCGCGCTGCGAATGTCACTTTGTTCGCAACAATTTCACCGGATACAGAAATTAGTAGTCTTGTAACATTTCAGGCACTGCGATTGACTTTGTATTTTGAGTTTAACTCGCGCAAACCCCGATGACAGTCGATCGGGACCACACGCTAAAATGTTGGGTGATCTTTTTCACTCTTCAAATATCCTAAAACAAAATCTCATTCATTCGCTTCTTTCCTTCCAGCTCGTAAAATCGCCAGAGCTCGAATCCCGAAAATGTACATAAATTAATTCGCAATTCGGAGGAGCTCGGAAGAAAAATTAACGCAAAAAAAAAAATATAAATATATATATATATATATATATATATATATATATATATATATATTTATATATATATTTATACGCTCGTATCGAGATTCGCGAGAGAAATCGGAAAGCCTTGCACGGGTAGCATGTGTGATGATGTGTAATATATGTGTTTATGTGTGTTATGTGTATGTCCTGCATCATTGCATCGATTTTTTTTATCTCATGCGTAATCGTACATCGCTTATTAATTATTAACCTGATTTCAAACGATACACGTTTACAATGATCACGTTATTCCTCTAGGGATGACATGCAGCGTATAAAACATATCTTATCTATATATTTATTTTTACTGTTGTTTATATATATATTTTTTTTTTTTATATATATCTATATTGCCGCATCCGTATATTTATATATATATATATATATATATCATATATATATATATATATATATATATATATATATATATATATATATATATATATATATATATACATATATATATATATATATATATTTACGCGGTACGTCCCTTACGTGCTACCAAAGGTAGATTAACAATCGGTTCATTGTGTTCCTTTTTCCCTCCTTCCCAACGCTTTTCTCTCAACGTTACATTGTCAGCCGGATATACACATTCGCGATTCACGAATCAAAGATAGAGGAAGGAAAATGTTGAGGTGCGTCTCGCGTCTGACGGATATTGCACTTCGAAACTGGACCGCTTAAAAATATCGCGCGTTTTGGTCTTCGACCGGCCATTAACGCGTCCAAAATGCGTCCTCGAGTAAAAATCTGGCAAGAGTACACTTCTAAAAATATAGCCAATGCTTGTGTGTGTATATGTATGTATGTATGTGTGTGTGTGTGTACGTGTGTTGTCTTTTATATTCAAAATAAATTTTGTCTATTCCAAAACCCAAATCCGTTCCGTCGTGAGAATTTTTTTACGGAGAAACTACGCAGTGTGGAATTTTCTCGTGTACAATTAAATGGAAAATAGTATATGTATATAAATCCACATATATATACATATATATATATATTTATATATATATATATATATATATAGGGGTTGTCGTATTTTTTCCCGTGATCTATTCGCAGCTTCGGGAAAGCATGTTTAATATATTTCGCGTCTCGTAATGAATTGCTTCATCTCTTGATAGCGCCTGCAAAGGTCCCGCACAAGTCGGTTGCTTCATCGAACAATATATATATATAATATATACTGTGACCCGATCGAAAGATTGACGCCGATCTTACGATCGAATTTTACGAGCACTTGGCCAAAAAACGTTTTTTTTTTTTATTTGTTTGTTCTCTCTTCACCATCGGGCACATCGTCACTGTAGTCACGAGGAGTGATCGGGGATCTCGGGTTGGCAAGATCCGCCGAATTCGCGATATACCCCCGTGGCTTCATGATACTGCCGCCATTCCGTTTTACATTTTTTTTAACCTAGGCTTAAAAAGTAAAAAACGCCAGCGCTGTTCGCCGCCAGCTCGAAGTTAATCGGTTTAACACATTAACGCTTTGATTCGTTTTTTTGTCAGTCTGTGCTCTCCTAGTCCATGACAAGTTACAAAAAAAAGATAATAAAACAGAGAAAAGAAAAATAAAAGAGAATAGATGTCCGGGCTGTCGAGGAGAAGGTGGTTTTTTTTTTTTACATTTACGCAGGACTCGAAGGTGTACGATTCGCGGACGGATCACCGTGTTTGTCCGCGAATCGATGTAAAATGCATCTTTCGCGTACCACCGCTAAAAGTCGCGGTGGTCAAAGACGAGTCTTGAAAGACGATAATCGAGCGTCTTTCTTTCTCTCTTTTTTTTCTCTCTTTCTCACTCTGTCTTACACAAGTGTCCACAATCACGATATATATTAAAATTTCCGCCATTAAAATTGAATTGTGCGCCCTTAATGCGAAAATTTTCGCGACACGCGTTCTTCGTTTTTTTTTCTTTCTTTTCACAAAAGGAAAGAAATTCGTAGGTGTCGCATCATCAATAATCACGCGTACACACGCGATCCGTTAATACTTTTTTAAACAGACATAGAGAAGAAACATTTTTCACCGAACGTTTTATTTCATCGGTAATATGTCTACGTTATACGATAAACGATAGTTAATACCCTAAATATCATTACGACGAGATTCGATTTCGCGATTGTTATACCATATTTTTTTTATATTTTTCTTTTTTATCAATAGCATTTATAGGCAGTGTTCGTTGAGAAACTGCTATACAGTTACACATCGAGATGTGTATATATGTATGTGTGAAATTCAATTTCTTGGATACAATTGCCATACATTATACGCTCGACTTGATTGCCCCTAAAACTACCGTTTTCTTCTTTTTTTTTCTCCCTCGCTCCCCCCCATAATATACGCGCGCGCGGGTGCTCATTAAGATATTTATAAGACATTTACGCGTATCTTAAAATAAGTATCTCGTGTTTATCGAGCAACGTAAATCGATAAACTTGCTTGCGTAGCGCTAGGAAAAATACGCGTCCAAACGCTAATCAAAATAAGCTACACGCTTTTAAATACAATTACGCTCTCTTTCTCGGTATAAGCGTAAGTAGCTCGGAAAGTACGCGTGTCATTCTTTTCCTTCCGCGTTTGATAAACGTCAACTTCGCTAAAATGAAGATCATAGAAAAAAACGATGATATCGCTAAAGGAAACCTGAGAATTTCTTTCCTTTGCAGACTAACTTCCCGCACATAATATATATATATATATATATATATATATATATATATATATATATATATATATATAACCGAGTAACGATGCACGTACTACATCGAGATAACGGAGTACAAATAAAAAAATGATTGTAAGTATAGTAGTAACAGCGGTAGTAGAATATAGTAAATAGTAGTAGCAGCAGCAGCAGAGGTCATAGTGGTAATTGCAGTAGTAGCATCAGTGGCTGTGTTGATGATGGTGACGGTTTTTTAACTTCACTCGTTGCGCAGCTCGGAGTTCTTGAATCGATTGAACGATTTGCAATTGATAAGACCGAAGTCCCCGGTTCTCACTTATCAATGTGTGATAGGCAACCAGAACAACCCTCCTCCGGTAACCACGGGAGAGAGAGAGAGGTCCCCATTAATCGCCCGTAGCAGCTGGCGATCACCAATAAAAGGTCCACTGTGTAATCCCCCGTGGATATATGTCGGACGATTTTTTTTTACTTCGGAGTTAGGAGTTGAAGGCAAAATCACAGAATGACGCAGCACCGACAATATCGTTGTCGCGAGGCTCCCGCGCTGGGTGGCGGAGTCGGCGGTGCGAAATACGCGTGCACCTTTAAGTTGGGTAGATGGGCCTGGAATAGTACAAAGGACTCAATCTATGTAAATTAACGAGATAAGAAGACTAGGAGACTATTAATAACCATATGACATTGTTTTCGTAAACACATAGATTATCATAATTATCGACAACGTATAAGATTACGGATTTGTTCGTCAAAATAAATGGGGAAAAAGATGAGTTTTTAAACTGCAGTCTCTACGGCAATGCATCTATGATAATGTATACCATAAAACCGAGTCCCTCGTAAACATGATTCATAGCTAGGCGGAAAAAGCACTAATTGTACTCCGCGGTCGGATAGAGTATCGTAATTATCCGGATGGTACTTTTTGCGGAATGCGCGATATCTATAATTCATAAACAGTTGCGTGATACGCAAATATTACGGACGCTAGCAATAACAATATTCCGCGGGATTTCGCTTTTTCCGCCCGATATGACGATCGATCAGGGAGAAATAAATAAATGAGTGACACAGTACTCTGAGTTTACGTATGCCCTCTCTGGTAATGTGTAGGCAGTCGTAAAGTTCGATACGTTCAAGATTGTGGCAGGCCTGCATCAGATGATTCAGACCGTTGTCCGAAATGTTCGGGCAGTTGTCCAGCTCCAAGACGGCTAAGTGTTCAGCTGCGCAGGGCGACAGCGCGATTTGCCGGAGGCCTTCGTCGGTGATCAGTTCGCAATGCGACAAACTCTGTGCGCAGAAAATAGCAAAGTACATTAGCCACGTGTTATCAAAGCTCCCCCGATAAGGTTCGATAAAACGAACGTTAAACACGCTTTGTATCTAAACGAACGCTGATATATCGAATCATTACTCACCAGTTTCTCCAATCTCGGACAACCCATCGCTAAGTGAGTTAGGGTGGCGTCGGTGATTAAAAGGCACTCTTCCAGATCCATCTTCTCGAGTAGTTTGCAATTCTGGAAGGTCGAGAGGGTTTTGATAGATATCTCGCTTTTCGAGAGAAAATTCGAAATAAGTCGCACAATTAGCGATCATCAACTCACTCTCGCGAGGGCCTGAAAGCCCGTGTCTGTGAAATGGGTGCACGCGACGCACTCGAGTACATTGAGGAGTGGACAGTGTTGTGCCAGGCTAATCAACGTCGCGTCCGTTAAATTGGGGCAATTCGACAGGCAAACGTAATGCAGCCGTGGACACCGTTCGCTAAGTTCTCTGACTCCGTCGTCCGTTATATTCTGGAACAAAGTGATTCTTCTTACTACAATGCTCGAACGACGCTCGAGTCTCTCCATATCTCCCAGATACAAAGTTAAAATTAAATATATCCCGCGCAAGATTTATTACCGACACAAAAGAGTTTTCGCTTTCACTTTAATAAAGTCAAAACCTTTAGTATTTCTTTTTTTATTTCGTACAAACGGGTGCTATTAAATCAAACTGCAGAGTTAATTTCGCGCAAACTTGGTCGATTCAAAGAAGAAGAAGAGAAAAAATTCAATTCTCTTTTGATGACGCGAGAATAAGTCTTATCTCGAGAAAAACACAATGAACACAGTAGGAAAAATTATTTTGTTTAAAACGGTCCCCGCTAAAATTTTTGTGTTAAATATTTAACACTTCATGTGTTAACATATTGCTGTTGTGTTGAAAAAGAAAGATAACACAATGTGCATCTATTTTTAATTTTACATAATAAATATATTCTGTTTTATTAGTACAAGATTTATCTGTAAAATTTACAGAGAAAAATGTTTTTATTTTGTAATATAAATGGGGATGATAAAATTCAAAATTTACATATTTTTAGTTAATTTTTACAGTGAAACCGTGTTAATTTTACACAAAATTTATTTGAAATTACTTGAAGTTAAATTAACACAAAAATTTCTGTGGACCGTTTGGGACACGTGATATCTGTCAAATTTAGCACAAATTTGTCAACTGTGAACGATGACGAGAATTGCTTATCTTCGCGTAAGCTGCGGATTTATGGAGGCTGATGGGATAAATACCCTGCACTCGTGCAGATTGATCGCCTCGAGATTAGGACAGTTGCGCGCCAAACACATAACAGCCTTGTCGGTGAGCTGACGACAGCCCTTGCTGAGGAAGCTGCGAAGCTCTGGGCAGCCCTTGGCGAGCGCGTCAACCCCGTTGTCAGTGAGCAGCTCGCACCACGAGAGATTGATGTGAGTGAGCAGCGGACAGCCGGCCGCGAGATCCTTCAGGGACATATCCGTTATTTCGGGACACGAGTCCAGGTTCAGCCGCTGGAGCTTGGGGCAATGACTGCTCAGGGCGGCGCATGTCGCATCCGAGATCCTCTTGCACTGGCTTAGATTGAGTTCCTCGATATTGGGACATGATTGGGCTAGGGTACGCATCGAATTGTTGCCGATGCTCTGGCATCCCTTGAGCGAGAGCTGCCTAAGGAATCCGCCGCAACGCCTCGAGATATTTTCTATTACTGGTCCCTGCGCGCACATAAAAACACATCCAACATCCTCATTAATCCCCACATTAAAAGTATGAGATCTCGTTGAGCAAGGGATTAGTATATAGGAGCGCGAGGATTATTTATCATCCTTTCTAGAGCAGAGTTTCTATTTACCTCCACGTCTCGTTGAAAATCGAAGAGATCGATCCTCTGCCAATTGGACCCATCGAGCGCCAACACGTTCCAGGCCTTGCTTACTTGGGCACAACGGCATAGCGATACGACATCGAGGTACGAAAAAATTCTGTCGATCACAGAGATTCGTTAGCGCGTTTCATCATTACTTTTGCAAACTTGAAAAAAGTGTGGACTTAAGCTTTTCGCGGGGCTAATAGAACCTTAATGTATTTTACGTCTCAATTCGTACAAATCGTGTTTGCGCTTCGGAAAATAACAAATTTTGAAAGACAAGGATAAATGCGCAGACACAACTATAATCTTCATAAAAAGAAACTTATATTTATATTTTTATACAGGGTGTCCCAGTATTAATTAGCAGGTTTCTGGGATCATTTGGAGACAATTTTTTCTCAGCGAACATGTCGAGAGAGCCCATCATTTTTTGCATGTTCCCAATTTTTGTCATCATGTAGGTACACGATAAAGATACGAATCTTAAAGACTTTAATTTAAATTAGAATTCTATTAAAGTGAACTCTTGCTGAGAAAAAATCGTCTCCAAATGATACACGGAGAGATTTTTCTTTTAAAATTCACTTTGAAAATGATAATCGTGGGGCAATTATGATATTGGAAGAATTTTAGGAGTTTCTTTGATTAATATTTACTACAATAAAAAATATTAAATATGTACATAGTAAAATTAATCGAACATATTTTATATCTCATTGTGATAAATATTATCAGAGAAACTCTTATAAAATTCTTCCTATATATACCACATTGTCCCATAATTTCCAGGGTAAATTTTAAGAGAAAATTCTTTCTGTGTATAGACAGATACTATTTCTAATTTTCCTATAAAAAAATTAGCAAATTTCTCCTTTGACAAAATTTCCATAAATGCATTTATTAATTTTTTATTCTTCGTATTTTAGAAAAATTTCGGAAATCCTGTAATTAAATTTTTTTAAATCTGAATTTACTGTACTTTTGTAGTAAAAAAAACTTGAGAATTAGTTTTCTTTTCTCATTACATTCTACGTTCAACTTATCGTGGAATATTGATGTAAAAAATAGTTTAACATACTAATGGATTTAGGAAAACGTATGTATCGAGACTGAAAAATAAGATACTTTTTAAAAATAATGCATTTCAAAACTTGTGCAAGAAGTGTTCATTTTAATCAGAGAAACTCCTACAAAATTCTTCCAATACCATATTTATTGTCCCACTAATTACCATGATTTCCAGGATAAATTCTGGAACACCCTGTATATACCTGTAGATTCGTATTATATTTAAAAATGTTTAAAAATAAAAATACGACTTTAGCACGTGCGACATCTAATTCAAATATACAATGGGTGTCTTTTTTTTTTATACAACTAAAATAAAATCGTCTATTGTGCGGCGTCTCGTCGCGATAAGACTAATTTGCATCGGGGTCAAGACTAGCTTAACATCGTCGTACCTGAGTAGCAATTCTTTTGGCAGTTTCTTGTTAATCTGCGCCTCGTCATCGTGAAACACCCATGTTAGCTGCAACGAAAGACACGTGATTAAATATACGACCGTGAATATATGTATATATGACGAGGCGGACCGCGGTCGTGTTATCGCTCATCAGGAGCCACAAACGTTCACGGAGAACAGCTGACATTCCGTCTTCGTTGTGTACACACATACACAAACACACATTGGAGATGGGAAAATATCGGGAGGAGAGAAGAACACACGTTAGATCCACGCTTTTCATGACAAGACAAGACAGGGGTCACGAGAGGGAGAAAAGACTCCTCTTCTGTCTAGTAAAAGAGATCTTATAAGCACTAGGGCTTCTTTGCATGCCCGGTGATAGAGAGTTCTCTTAGATCAACTAACCTGCATGTAGGATTGCTTCATGGTAGTGACAGGGTTGTGAGTGTGCGATTGCGACGTGTAATAACCGCCCTGATGATGATAGTGTTGTTGATGATGATGATGATGATAATGGTGATGATAGGATGGATGCTGCTGCTTCCACCATTGTCCACCGGTACCACCGCCTCCCTTTTCCGATTCCTCGACCGCCAGTACCCCTTGGTTCCCTCCTCCCACTCCTAATTGTTGGAGACTTACTTTTTTCTAAAAAAACACATCCCAATATCGTGTCATCGCGTCCCTCGAAAATCAGCGGAATTCGCGAATTCAGGAGATCTTCTAGCGCAAAAGCGCGAGGATGTATATCAGGGTGTATGGAAAAACCTGGAATTCTCAGGGAATTTTGTTCTATTTTGAAAAATCGTGGAATTCGATTTGAACTCAGGGTTTTTTAAACAATTTTGCTCCTTTCATTTTAAAATACAGTTTTAAAGAATTTAAAATTGATTGGTTTTATATAAGGTATATATTAAAATATATTTTATTTGTAATAAAATACTATATTACATTATTATATTAAAAAAATACTTCATTTATGTTGGAAATTATGTATAACAAATAAACTTATTTCGAAATTGTATTCTAAATATTTTTAAAATACTTTAATTTTAAAAAAGTATATATTTGGAAAATCATGGAATCCTCAGGGAATTTATTTCTAAGATTTGAGTATACACCCTGTATATATCCATAATTTTATATCCCAATCGCGCATTCATTAATTATACACGAATATAGTCTATTTTAACTAACGATTGAAATAGATCTAATCAATTATAGATTTATGTGTTGTTGCCGTTGTAATGAAATTCTCAATTTTCAGTTCGCTCGCTATCGGTTATGTGATAATTTAGTTGCATGATAATTAGCTTGCATGATAATTTAGTACTTAATACATTGAAAACTGACTTTTATTTGCTTCAATTTTAATACTAATCGTAATGTGTATAATTGTCGTTTATTGCAACACTATACGCTAATAACTAACATGACGTGTTCTAAATTATGAAAACCGCCTACGACAACATGCGTGACTTCCTTTCGCTATACGTATACTAATCGCCAATTAATTCATCGTCGATCACCGCCGTGGAACAATAGCGTATGCAAAGTCGGGATTCAAATGATGACATATTATTCTAATTGTGAAAGTGATACACAACTGTTAATTCGCAAGTAAATGTATTCGAAATACAAAGCAAGCGCTGCCAATCATATATGATCGCATATACACATATTATTAGTAGGTACATTGTTATTATAAAGCATAAAAAATATTATTCAAAAATACATGCGCATACAACAAATGAAGGATTTAAACATATGAATAAGTATGTAATTTTGGAAATAAATAAAAATGCATGATACATCATTATATATAAGGATACCAATTTCGACTCGTCATTAAGTTTTTTCAAAGATGATAATCTGTCAGGTAGACAAACGACCTGCTTTATGTAACAGACTAAATATACATCAACATTTGATTACATGCACAGTAGGAAAATTTGTGTTTTATGTTGAAATTTTCGTGTCAAATATATTTAACACATTCATGTTAATTATTAAAACAACTGAAAAAGATGTAAAAATAATACAATGTGCATTGTGTAAAATTAAAAATAATCAATTTTTAATTTTACACAAGAAATATGTTCTGCTGTATTAGCGACAAGACTTATCTGTTAAAATTTACGGGAAAAAAGGTTGATTTTTTATTTTATAATATATATGTGGGGATAATAAAATCTAAAATTGACATATTTTTAGTTAATTTTTACATTAAAACTGTTTTAATTTTACACAAAATTTATTTTAAATTACTTGAAGTTTTACAAAATATTAACACAGTATTAAATTAACACAAAAATTTCTGTGAACCGTTTGGGACATGTGATATCTGTTAAACAAAAATTTTTCTACTGCGTGATTGAACGCATATCGCGGTCTCTCATATCCTTCATTAATTAGCGCGAAATTTTTTTTATCTCCGAGTAATTTCGCGTTTGATTCTCGCCGAAAGCTATACAAAAGATGGAAAAGCGAGAGCGTGTATCTCGTTGAAATTATGCCGGTCGAATATTTTTTTTTTTTTTTTGCGGTGCTCGAGTTCCGTGTCTCGTTGCATTTTCAACGAGGAAAGCCCGCTCGCAAAATGCTTGATTATCAGGAAGTTAATAAAAGTGGAAACGAGCGCGATGGCGCGCACTGGATGCAGGATTTCAAACAACGAACATTTTCAAGTGCAAGTTGTTCTCGAATGAATCTCGAATAATTTCCTCTTTTTTCTCTTATGTTAACGTAATGTTTCATCTCGGCAGATGAAACAGCGAGTCTAATATCTGTGTATGTGTGTATATATGTGCACACGTTCCCTGTATATGTGCAATATAATATAATATTGTAAGAAACACATTAAACTAATGAGTTGCTTGATCGCATGTAAGATGAGAAATAATTAATGATAACAAAGTTTCGTTAACGTACGGTTATTTAAGTAATTAAATAATCCAATTAAATAAAAAAATATGTGCGCTCAAATAACACTCTTTCGTTTCGAGAAAGGAAAAAATTATTTTTTTACTCTCTTGCTTTTTGTGTATCTTTTTAACGCGGTCAGTTGTTATAGCTGCATCTTGTCAATGATAAAAATAAATCAATGAACTCGCTTACGTCTGTAAGATATGTATATACATAATCTATATACAATGAGAGAACTCATTTCGCATAGAAATAAAAAAGGTAAGGATAGACCAGGATCACAATAATGATAGGTAACAAAATTATAATTTCCAATGTGTTTTGTGTTTAACATTTATTTATTGAAAGCCAATTGAGATGAAAAATTTTGTTTTCTTTTAATTTCTTCCGCGACAAAAACAAATTAAAATTGATATTTCTCAAATTTTTAATTTTAATTTGTTTTTATCGCGAAAGGAATTAAATATGCCAAGAATGTATAAAAATTTAGAATATAAATATATTTTATCGAAAATATATATAGACTCGTATACATATATTGTTTGAAAGATATTTATGTTTTATTGGATTTTTATTGATATTTATATGATTGTTTTTTTAAGAATTTAGTAATTTGATATTGACTTTTTCATGTTAATGGAACATAAATAATTTTCTGATGAATGTAGCAAGAGATTGGAGTCTGCGCCAAGATATTTTCTTAATACATTCTCAATATATGTACGATGTGATAACAGAATTATTACATTAGGATGCACCTATAACATAAAAAAAATATAATGCTTGATATATGTATATGCACCTCTATATTTCGCATGCAAAATCGCGTATGCAAAAATTATCATGCAAGCGTAAATTATTTAAAATAATGTGAAAAAATTTGTCGAATAATTATAAATTATCATTATAATTTCTTCGTCAATTTCGGTTTTACAATACTACCCAAAATCTCTCTCTCTCTCTCTCTCTCGGATTTTAAATCTTAAAACTCTTTCAATAAATTTTGGTATTTCACAATTCATCAAAACGTTCATTATGCCTAAAAATTTCCGATTCTCCAAGTAAAATAAGGGCGCGCAGATAGGCCTCATTCCATTTTTGCGAGAAATGATCAATTCGCTTGCGGATTTCGCGTGCGACGCGAGGGTTTATTTTACTTGGTCTATACGAAATTGGGATACGTCCTTTCGTCATTGGTGCGCGTCCTTGAAATAAAGCCTAGAAGCGCTTTTATCAATAATGACCGTATGCATAGATCGCGCGAGGCGGCTCTTCAAACTTCCATGCCTTATCGTATCAAGTATGCAGGGCGTTGCATAAAATTATACGGGATAACGAAGGCGGCCGGGTTCAGCGATAGCCATCGATGCGAAGATACGCGATTGCGTTCGGCCTTAAACCGCAAAATATGAACACACAAATATACACACAGCCTTGTGAAAAATTGCGATTCGTATAATCCGGAATAGAGTCCTCTAGGTATGCACGGCGAACGAAATATGCAGCTAAAATAGCCGCTGCGCGAAAGAGATCCGTTTTCATTTTATATTCCAAACCGCGAACATTGTATAATTCAGATATATATATTTTTTTCAGTTTCCGTTTTGTTCAAATCCAGCTTTGTATCTTCGAAGATGAATAGAGAGCTTTAATTCCCGCGGCAACTACTTTTATATTAAACATTGCCCTTTATCCTTTATGTTGAAAAATATCTATTCGACACATTTTCTGTATATTTACGATCTCATGCGAATTAAAAAAATATATATTTAAAAATATCGCGTGAAAAAAAATTAATTAGACGTATATCGATAAATTTATCTCTGACTAACTGTACTTAAGATTAGACTGCTTTTACAGTAAGGCAGTACGTTACTGTAAACAAGCCACGGCAATATACTTTAATAGCGTTATCGTTCGATGTGGATTTTCCTATTAAAAGTTAAAGCACGCTTTCTCACATCCCGAAGAGTGCTTCTTAATTATCTTTTTATTACTTAAGTTTGGAATTAATTATCATAAAATATTTAACATATTTCTTTATGTATGTATACATATATAAACGATTGCACATGTCTCTTGATTTGACAATTTATTTATATACATATGTACACGGAATTTTCTCTTACAATTAGAATTTACTCTGAAATTAAAGTAAATTAAAGTATAGTAATTAAAGGGACAATATGGTATTGGAAGAATTTTATAAGAGTTTCTCTGATTTATCACAATAAAAAATATAAATAATTATTTTAAAAAAAGAAAAAATTAATATACGTACGTAGTAAAATTAATCGAACATATTTTATTATCTTATTGTATAGATATTAATATTTTTTATTATTGTAAATATTAATCAGAAAAACTCTTATAAAATTCTTCCAATACCATATATTGACCCATTAATTATCATGATTTTTGGAGTAAATTCTAAGAGAAAATTCTCTCTGTATGTATTAAATAATGATAGATTAAATTCTTATATAATATAATAAATTATTATATTATAAAATTGTTATATTATATTATATTGTATTATATTAATTACACAGAAAAAAAGAAGTGTCAAATAAACACTTATATATAGTTCAACGAAGAAAAGAATATTAATCTTATTATTAATCTTATTATTTAAGAATAATTTTCTTGGATAAAAAAGAAAAATGTTGTATAGAAAATAACATAAAATAACATGTTTCATGATATTCTTCAGATGACAATATATGTATAATATTGAAATAATAATGTAATATGACTATAATATTGCAATTTAAAAATTTAATAAATTCTTGTAAAATATAAATATTATTAAATATAAATATTGTTGTTATATTAAAATATAAATATTGTTGCGTATATACAGTCGATTTGACACTTCTTTTTTCTATGTATATAATTAAATTCTTATATTATACAATTAAGAGACACGTGCATTTCAACTGCACTGATATACATATATACCTATGCATATATGCAAAGCATTGACACTCTCTTGGCTCCGTTTCTCGATTCCGCGCGGACGGGCCTGAAAAAAGCGGCAAAATAAACGGACATCGAGATTCGGGAATACGCCTTAAATACACACACACGGGCGTCACATCACGCAGCCGGGTGTAATATAACGAAATTTTCCCGCGTCGCGTGTGTTGTAAAATTGTAAATGAACGCGGAAGACAAATAGCGGGGGCGCGCCGTAAACAAAATACGAGATTGCCTTCTATTATTCCTTATCTTTATCAGGGAGACCCGCGAGAGAGCGAGCGGTATTGCGGTCGCGAGAGATCAATGCGGTCGCGAGAGATCAATGCGGTCGCGTCGTCGAGAATCCCGCGATCGGGAAGGGAGAAAAAATAAGAAACGAGAACGACAGAAGTCGCGCGATAGCTCGATGACAGATAGAGCTTCTATATATTCTTCAGATTTTTCTCCATTCCATTTTCTCGCGGATCAACTAGCGAATTAATTGCTGCCTTTTTCTCTCTGAACGCTATATATATATATTTTTTTTTTAAATAGACGAGATTAGATATATTATTCAGAAATTCAGATTAATTTTGAATCAGTGTATATAATTAATTATTTTTTATTTTTTGTGTCATCGTTATTATTTTTGTATTTATATTATACATTATTTTTATTATTAATTATATTTTTATTAATATATAGAATGATTGTTTTTTTATAAGACTTGCATTTCCTTCGCAGTCACACACTGGGATGTAGATTCAATTTTTAGAAAATTCTGTTGCCGGAGCATGATGCAATGTGACGTCATTTCGCGTCCTACAATTTCTGTTTACGTGTCACGACTATATCCTTTGCCGTGAGATTTTCCCGTGAGAAATACCAAATTTCGAGCGATATCTTTTTGCGAAAAAGGAGAAAGAAAAAATTTCTCAATCTCAAATTAAAGAGATTCTTGAGACACGTGTCAGAAAAGGCGAGGTGCGCTTAACTAATGTATATGTATCGATCGCAAAATGCACATGAGACACTTTTAGACATTTGAGAAAAGTTTTTGTTTCTTGTTACAGGATATCGTTACAAAATTCCAGGAGCAATGAAAGTATGCAAACTATCCAGCATGGAAAGTTGGGATATCAAGAGGAATCGCGGGTAGGTAAAATAGTTGTCTTTAAACGGGATCGCTTCACGGAAAAATTTCAGATTCCATTGTTCCACTGTATAGTTTAAAATCGATTCAAATTATTATTATTTTACAACATTAATATTTTTTCCGTTTAAAAATATATATTATTAATTTTTTATTTATATACAAATATTATCTATCTCCCTTTTTTCTTTCTTGCTCCGATATCACAACACTGATATATCTCCAGATATATACTTAAATACGTCGCGGATTATAATGCTATCAAAGTTAAATCCCGATAAAAACAAATCAGCTGATTTCACAAATCAGCGAAGAAAACAATCATTTTAAAGTTTTATTTTTAGTATTTATTCTCTCCCTTCCACCCTCTTTTTCTTTTGCGAGAGACATTATATTAAATTAAATTAAATAAAAATTCTGCAAAATTTCGGTCTCAACGTCGAATAAAATCGATTAAAATTAGCGTTATATTAAATTAAATGAAAATTCTGCAAAATTTCGATCGCAACTTCGAATCGATTAAAATCGGCATTAAAGAGAAAAGGAGGGCACTCAGAGACGGAGATGTATTTACGGTTCCTAAGATAATAAGAGGTTAAAAAAAAAAAAAATATATATATATATATATACACGTAAATAGCTCGTCCGTGACTTTCATCGCGTTGCACATCGTTGATATGCCGTTACGAATTTTTGTTCTCGCGAAAAATTGCATCGTCCGCTCGTCACGAAGAAGCAATGTTCCTTGAGCGTGAAGGAGAGTCTCTATCTTAGAAAATATATCTATACACACAATCTATATAATATATCTAATCTCTGTTGCGCTAATAATACACATATCGCGATAAAAACATGGCAAATAACAATTTCTCTAGAGATATTCCTCAGAATTTGGCGCACGTCCCGATTCTACGATAGTGACAATGATTTACATATATATTCAAAGGCAAGATTGAGAAGTTTTCACAAGCGTTACTTCCCGACAAGTACTCAAGAATAATTAAATTATTCAAGATATTTTCATATTGAGAAGATATTTTCATGTCGTTATATCTAACAATAAGTGTGGATAATAATGAAAATATTGTAATTATTAAAAGTAAAATAAAATATTATAATTATTAAAAGTAATAATAAGAATATCATAATTATTAAACATTTAATAATTATAATTATTTATTAAATAATGCACAAATATTGAAAGAACATTGCACTGTGTTCGGTAAAAAATAACTTCTTTTCGAACATCGTAACGAGACTAATAGTTTTTTTATAGCTTTTTGGATGCTGAATATGAATCCGGTTTCCAAATTGCTCCATCACGTTACAATTTTGAAAATTTTTTAATTAAAGTTGCAAAAAGCGTTATTTTTATGAATTACGTCATATTATAACAACAATATGTGACGTGCTGGAGAAGTTTTATTGCAATCAAAATAAAGTATATTGTTAAGACTTTTAACCCTCAAAGGGAATTTTTGGTTTCTATTATGTTAATAAGATATCCATGGTTAAATATGAGCTGTGTTGTAGAAATTAGCTGTGACTTACAATTAGGTCATTAATGATAAATAATTTTTAATTATGTTTATTTAAACTTAAGAATTTTTAAGGCATTGAATATAAATTTGTATTTAATTATTAAATATATAAAATTGTAAAAAAAAAATTTTTTATTGTAGCTATATAAAAATAAATTTAATTTATTGATTTGTAAATTATTTGTATTTAAATTCAATATCAAAATTGTCAAAATTTGACACTGGATTCGTATTCAGTGACCTAAAAAATGTTTAAGATTAAATAAACATAATTGAAATTTATTTGATAAATTATCAATGACCTTATTAACCATAATCGACATCAAAAATTCCTTTTGAAGATTGAAAGTCCTAACAATATATTTTAATTGCAAAAATTAAAATTTCCCTAGCACATCACATATTGTATAACACAACAAATTTCGTGGAAAAAGCCCTTTTTGCAACGTTAATTAAAAATTTGTCAAAATTGAGAAGTGATGTAATAATTTGCAAACCAAATTCGTATTTCACACAGCATCCGCATAAAAAAACTATAAAATACTAGTCTCGTTTCGGTTAATTTTTTATTATTGTAGTGTTATTATATAATTATTATATAACCATAAAATAATTATATAATATTAAGTAACGCGAATATTAAGAGAGGCAAAGGTCTGATGTGAAAGGACGTGTCACGTGTATCTATATGAACTTTTTATATCAAAAGCAAAAGAGAGAGAGATAGCGCGAGCACGTCTTACGGATTGATCGGCGAAGTGCGCCGATATATCTGTTCAATTTTCTGAAATGAATGGGACATCGCCAGAACCTCGTTTCGCGAAATCTCAGACCCGCGATGTGTCGATGGTCGAGAAAAAGAGAGAGAATCGTTCTCGTGACGGGCGACACGCGCCGATGCACTTGTGCACTCGCGCATCCTCCTCTCCGTTGCGCGGAATTTCGCGATTTCGCGTTGCTAAGAAATTACATTCCGGAGGAATCGACGATTTTTATTATTATTATTATTATATATTTCGACACCGTACGGAGCAACGAGGTAATCGTCGATGAAGAAAGATGCGGCGGAAAAAAAAGAAATAAAGGATGCAATTTCTCCGCGAATTTATTTATTAATTTTTTTTCTCGTCGATATTTTTATTACAGCGCGATATCGAAGAGGCGGATAAAGTTTTTCTTTTTTCCGAGGATGAAAGGGGCTTTCGCGAATTAACCTTGGCAGACGGTAAGATAAATCACGAGACGCATTTACTCGTTCCTGGGATCCGAGAGAGGCGGACTTTAACTTTAACGGTAGTTTAATTTGCGCGAGGCTTAGTTTGCGGGATATCGCATATTTAACAAAGACGGAAGAGTTGTTGCGAAAAATGTGAATGAGTCTCTCTCTCCGATATTTCTCCGCTTTTTGAGAAAAGTTTGCTTTGAAATTCGCAAAGAACAACGTTCGGTGTGTATATATACTATACGTCCATCTTTCACCATTCTAGGACATCCTGTATAGATATACGTACTTTTTAGCTCTCTGTACACTTTCCTGCACAAATTTGATCCTCTCCTTTCTCACTCTTTCTCTCCTTTCCGTAAAGAACCGAATGCTTCGTTTTGAGTACAAGAAGTGCAACAGAGGAAATGCAGTTAAAAAGAACACGTCAAGTTTCGAAACGTGAAAGAAGTTGACGTCAAGAAAGAAAGAAACCGTGAAGAATATTAGAGGGAGAGAGACAAAAGAGGAGAAGATAAAGGAGACAAAGAGAAAACGATAAATCAATTTGATAAATTCGATAAGAATTGAGATTAAAATCAAACTCGATTAAAAATCTCCAATTTCGTTGCATATAGTTTCAAGAAAAAAAAACCTTGAAAAAAAAACATGAACTTTTTATATTTTAATTATTTATATACGCCTCACATTTTATTTAAAACGTGCGTGGTTTACGATATTCGATCGAAGAAGGTCTGTATGGACGTCAATATCTTTTTGCAATTTATAACTCATGAATGGAATAATAAAAATAGCAGATACAGATTATATTTGCCGAGACTGCAATAACAATGTCGTATTGAAGTGTTTCACTCGTATATAACGTGCATCTTTCATTGAAAACAAAAATATGGGAACAAAAAATATACATATAAAACGGAATAATTTGTCAAAAAAACTTCATAAAAATCATAATATAATAATGTCATAAAATTATATATATATATATTTTTTTTTAAAAGATTCTTGGAAAAAATACACGGAGAAAATTTTGTCTAATATTATCACATTAATATTTACCACAATAAATATATTAATATGTACAGAGTAAAATTAATCGAACATATTTTATTTTTTATTGTGGTAGATATTAATATTTTTTGTAGTAAAAAATATTAATCAGAGAAACTCATAAAATTCTTCAAATACCATTGTCCTATGATTACCATGATTTTCAGAATATAAATAGAAGAAAAAATTCTCTCTGTGTAATTTCATAATATTATGATGTTATCATTTTTGTGAAGTTAATATTTAATTAACAATCCTTGTTATTATAAGTAAAATAAATATTTTACTAAGATACATGAATATTTAATTAAGACATAAATAGTATATCCTGTAATCTAGTTTATATCTGACAATGAAAGCACTTTATTCCAGTTTGACAGATGTAATTTTATACGAATATGTGATAGTATATGTATAATATTTATACATTTCAAACCTAACAACGTATTCAGTGTGTATAAGGTTCCTGTGTCTTATCCCGTGTATCCGAATTATCTAATCCAAACAAAGTATAAGATAACGAATCTTACCGTTACTCTCTAACCCGGTATATAAAACCGATACATTATTACATTGAACAAAAAATTATTAAATTAATATCTTTATTTCAATACTGCCTAATAAATTATGTATTTTAACCATATAAATATTGATGTTTTCCACACGTACACATAAAAGGATTCTCTTATAAATATAAATATCTTTTCACATTAATTAGAAAAAATATTAGCTTCAATAAAATTTTTTTCAGTGTTTTCATTATTATCGAGTGCATTATTAATAACGATATTTATACTGTAATTAGAAAAAGACAAAAAATCTTGAAGCAAATCATGAAATAAAGAGATACGTATCTCTATTTCAACCAAATAAATATTGATCTGTTTCGAAAAGGACTTTTTATATCAAATAATATCTTTTCACATCCAATCAATATTATTAATTTCAATCAATTTTTTTCAGCGTACCATTATTATCGAGTACATTATATTAATAACGATATTCATATACTCGCGTAATTAGAAAAATATATTATTAGATTTAATAAATTTTTTGTTTAGTGTACCATTATTATCGAGTGCATTATTAATAACAATATTCATCCTGTAAATAAAAAAGACAAAAAATCTTGAAGCAAATCATGAAATAAAGAGAGATACGTACCTCTATTTCAACCAAATAAATATTGATCTGTTTTGAGAAGAACTTTTTCATATCAAATAAATATCTTTTCACATCAAATCAATATTATTAATTACAATAAAATTTGTTTTTTAGTGCATCATTATCGAGTGCATTATATTAACAACAATATTCATACTCGCGTAATTAGAAAAAAATATTATTAATTTCAATACAACTTTTTTCAGTGTATCATTATCATTATTATCGAGTGCATCACTAATAACAATATTAATACTGTAAAAAAAAAAGACAAAAAATCTTGAAGCAAATCATGAAATAAAGAGAGATACGTATCTCCATTTCAATCAAATAAATATTTATCTGTTTCGAAAAGGACTCTTTTATATCAAATAATATCTTTTCACATCCCAATATTATTATATTCAATCAATTTTTTTCAATGCACCATCATTATCGAGTGCATTATTAATAACAATATTCATCATATACTGTAAGACAAAAGAATCATGGAGGAAATCATGATAAATAAAGAGAGATAATATCTCTTTGACGCACACAATCCGAAACATTGAATCTCCATTTAAAAACACCGAGGCGGAAAACACGGGCCCATTCACAGCTCGTCGCTTATCGCTGTGGGGCACACATTGTTATCGAAAAGCGCGAAGCACGCCGCTCGTGTTTACGCTCGTCCGTAGGACGCGCGCGATTTCGGCGCGCTGCGTCGTCGCGACGTCGACGACGACGACGAGCGTCACGTCACCTCCCCTCGAGAGATCGACGTCCGAGAACGCGCGCGCGAACGATGACGCGCTCGACGTCGCGACGACGAACCGAGATGAGGAACATCGTCGACGAACAATGACGCTCATTGACATTCCGTTTCCATGCGCTCGAGAGGACGCGGGGCTTTTTGCGCACGTCGACGACGTCGTCGACGTCGCCAGGAACGAGAACAAAGAGAATAGTCAGCGGGGTGGGGAAGGAGGGGAGCGTGCATTTAACAACGAGAACGCATCGAGAGAGAGAGAGAGAGGGACAAAGAGGTGGAGCGTGAAAAAGAGAGAAATAAAGAAAGACGGAAAGGAAGGACAGAAGGAAAGAAAGAACAAAGGACGGAGCTGCCTGGCTGGCTAGGCAGGCTTGCTCGATTGCTTGGTTGGTCGATGAAAATATATATACATATATACACACATATATATACATATATTTATATATATATATATACATATATACCCTAACAGCACACATATCTCGAAGACGTTCAGAAAACATCCTGAGGATGTTTAAATATCCTCCGGATATCCTCAGAATGTCTTTCGGATATGGTGTGCTGTTAGGGTGTATACATATATATATATAGACATATATACACCCTGACATATACATACATATAAATATATATCGTGCACGCAAAAAAAAAAAATCCGTTCGAGAATGACAGCGTGTTGCCAGCCAGCCACAATAACGAGAGAATGCCCTGGCGCATGACGCCTCCGTCGTCCTTGTCGTAGGTCGACGTCGTCGTCGTCGTCGTCGTCGTCGTTGTTGTCAACGTCGTCGTTTTGGTCGCAATCGGAGCCACGAAAGTACGGCGAGAATGTCCGCGGTGGCCGCCGCGCTTCGCGGAGGCCAGGGGAACGAATCAGCTGTTCGCCTCGGCAATGACAACATTGAACACGCACGACCCCCCCGGACTCTCGTTGTGTGGCGCTTCGACGCGCGTTTACGTTGCACACCGCGGCCGCGTTCCCTCGTTCGGGGAAAGACTTACCTCGAGCCTGGTGCGCCCGGAGTGTATCATCCTTTTGCGTCGCGTTATTTTGCAAAACTTCCGGGAGTACCCGCACGGTGCAGTCGCGAAAAAAAAAAAACGTCGCGCGGCTGAGCGAGTAGCTGCGCTTCGCGAGAGAAATGGCCGAGTCTACTGAATGTGCTCCGTCGTACGTCCGCGCGGGGGGACGGAGGGCGAGCGACTGCTGGATGAGGGGGGGAGAGGTTGACTGTACGGTACGCCGCCGCTTTCCGCTGGCGCCAGCAGCGCCGCGCGCTCATTGGCCGCCCGCGGTCGACTTGACGACAGCGCGGCCAGTAGCCGCGCGCGCAACCATTGTTTACTCGCTTCCCATTGGCGCGTTATTTTTGAGTAGGGCGACGCTTCGTGCGCGCGACGACGATGTCGCGAATTAATGATCACGGATACGGTCGGTATTGCAGGTGATAAGTTAGTTCGCCGACTTACCGATGACAGCGCGAGGGAGAACCCTTTCGTTATGTCAGATGAGCGCGCCAAATAGAGAATGCAATCTTGGACCTCTTCTTCGATCCTGATTTCAGGATTTGTAAAATAGTATCTAGGGATCCCGGATCTGAAAAAAATAATGTTGATTGTAAAAATGTGTACTTTTTTATTTAAAATTTGTTAGGTGTTTTATTTATGTCAAAATTATATTTTTGTAATATTATAGGTATAATAAAATTAAACATTTATTTTAGAAACTTAAATTAATATTTGAAACAAGAACAATTTTAGAAACGCAAATTGTGTTTATATATTAATAATTAGTTCTTATAATTGTTGTTAAAATAAATCATGTAATTAATATATATAAGTTGTGCCTGGCTAACAAAAATATTTTCGAGCATAGAAGTAAATAAATAATATATGTAGGGTCTATAAATAAGCAAATCTTTGAAAATCCTGCAAACACAAGCAAAATATATTTAAATAATTATATATTATATAGTTTAATTAAGTTAGTAATAATTGTTTTAAATTCATACAACTCATCATTAATAAAAGTTATTTTTAATTTATACACAAATATTTAAAAGATAATTTTTAAATATCTCAAAATCCCGTAATTAGTTTACAATCTCGGAATTGCCGGAATTAAAAAAATAGCCGGGATCCCGGAATTGCATTCCCTATAGCGCCAAGTTAAAATCGGCGCGGGTTGCCAGGTTCGCTTATTTTGATTCGAACTTTGAAAATAACCTTTTTGACCTGGATCCTCAATTGCGGTTTGATCGAAATATTTAATTTACGGAGAGTGACACGTGAAATATTGCACGCTAATAAAGTTGATTATTATCTAATAATAAACGTTTTTCTTGTTTCGAAGCTATATTGGCTGGTAATAATTTTGTATGATGACATAATATAAATGCGAATAAATAGAAACGTACAATTCAATGAGATAGAATCACAGAATAATTCATAGCTTATTCAATATCATAGTGAGAATGACTTCATCATCAGCGATATAACAAAGAGAATGCGTAATACAATCGATGATGATCAACAGGATAAGCTTAGCACTTTAGCATCGCCGTTTAACGTAATGGATATAATAAAAAATCCGTTTAAAAAAAAATACTTTTCTGATTAATATGTATTTAATATTCGAATTATTAATTACTAAAATATTTATATAAATATACAAAGGCCATTATTTTTATACTAAATTCTTTTAGGATTTAAAATAAAAATTATGCTTGTATATCACAGTAATTCTAGAAGAAAAATGTTTAATTAAATGACTCATTGAATTCCTGTCAAAAAGATCTAGTTTATATAAAATTAGCTTATAAAATACTAAAGAAACGTCAAATGGAAAAGTTTATTCTTGTTTATTTTCCGCGCATTATATTTGATTATATAATTACGCGCGAATCAGATGTATCATTAAATGACAATTAATCGATGAGCTGTGACATTATTGTATTTTTCAAGTATACAGTTTACTAGGTCGAACGATGCGATATTATCAAAATGATAGATCGAGGTCGATAAAAAAAACTACGATGTATATTTGTATATACATAAATGCGACGTATCATAATTTGGAACAAGGTGCGATTTTTCAGATATTTATAATTTAATTAAATTATGTATCGATTTAATGATAATATAAAATGCAAATGTGATTTTTAACATGTTTAATAACGCATTACTTATTAGAGAATTTGTCATCAATAAAGAGCTAATAAAATAAAGAATTAAATAAATATTTGCAAATCATAGTAATAAATTTTTGATTGTGAACGATATACATAATAAAACTTCATATACATATATATATATATATATATATATATATATATATATATATAGATATCCTATCGTTTTGTAATAATATTTTATAACAATTTATAAAATATGCGATCTATAGCGATGATTTATAGTGTTTTTAAATGTTTTGATTAAAGAACTTTGCAAGCGATTACAAAATTTTAATTCATATACTTTTATTATTATTGATGTTACATCTATGATATTTTATCGTTATTTATCTCAATTATCAATACTAATAAATCATAAAACTCAGGTAATACTTTACGATTTAATTGGATTTAAAAAACACATTTTGTATTTGCTTTGCTTTTACGAAGAAGAATGCGCGTAATATTGTTTTTATCGTTTATCGTTTTTATCGTAATATTGTTTTATCGTTCACTAATCTTTCATAAGTTTATTTTTTTAATTAAGTCAATATTTAATTTATATGGAATTATTGTAACTTATGTAAAAAATAATAACAGTACTATATGTTTTGCATTTTACACTAATTGTAAAACTTTAAAGAAAAAACACATAGAAGTTTGATTATAAATTAGAGAAAGAAATATAAAATTAATTTATACAATACACATATTTATTTTAAATAAGCAAATGTTATTTAACAATTCTAATTTGCATTTACCTTTTTCCAAAATTTTTTTCAAAAACTTTAAAACAAAAATTTACATATTTGAAAAAATATTATTTACATATATTATATATTATTATAAAAAGGAGTTTTCATAAATTTTGAGATGCATTTATTTTGACAATTTTTATGTATGTGAGTAAAATCGACTAAAATTTTATTTATTATTTATTATCATATTATAACTAAATAAGAAGGAGATCCTTTTTATATATAGATAAATATTATCTTTAGCAAATAAAATGTCTTTTAAATATAATCTTGTATTGACAGCATACTTTTAAATTTGAGTGTTATTATAATCTTGTTTTATTTATCTATCTAAAAATAAAAAGATAAAAAGTTTTATCAACCGCGCAAATGAAAATTAAATGTATGTACATTTCATCATTTTATATAAAGTTGCTATTTTGCTACAAAACATTACAGAATATTAATTACTTTGTATTAATTATTGTTATTCAATGTATGTTAATCGATATCTCTTCCTTTCTTTTTTTCAACGAAACATGATTATTAAATTATTATTATTATTAATCCCTTTAAAACAAATATAATTATTTATCTTATATATTTTAAGTTAAAGTGTAGGTCATTTTTTAAACAGCTTTTTTGTAATCTCATAAGTGCAGGTGTGTTCGCTCAGCAAATGGATCTTTTTACAAAAGATTCACTGAATCGCACACGCTCGTTTTATGTGATTTCATTCTTTATTTTTGTCGATGTCATGCATTTCTTTAGCTTTTACAGTCTGACAATAAGAGAAATATGATTATCATCCTACGTATTATCTGAAAATCATTTTAGGTTCTGAATAATAATGCGATATAAACGCACGAAAATATATGTAATTTTCTCTTGCTCGATCGCACTGTAGAAAATAACGTTTTACGTATTGACAGAATTTTGCTGTTTAATTTTGATGACTTTGTAATTTCAGTAAACAGTAATATCAATCAAAATATAATCTGGATTATTCCAGTTAATGTTGTTTGCGCGAGAAAAATGAAAATTGTTAGCACGAGATTATTACCATATAATATAAGATGAGAATTAAATGTCTGTTATAGTGATTAGCGAATACCGATATGTTATAATGCAACAACACTTTTCTACAATGACAGATGAGTTTAAAAACTCTGTGATTTTGTTATACATAATATAATTCAGCTTCTGAAATTGTCAAATTTATATATATATATATATCAAATTTATATATAATTTATATATATTAATACTGAATTATTCGTCAAATGTCAAAAGTGCACATATAAGTTTAGCTTCCTATTTGTTGTTTTATGAAGTACAGAAGAATCTGTTTAAATATGCGGACAGGATTTATAAATCGTTAAATCCAAGTAAATTAAATTTTCAAAAGAGGATAGAATAGATTTATCCAATAGGATAGATTTTATCATCGCCGTTCATTTAATACCTGTTTGTGAGAACAAAATTGCAAATTATCACACGGTAACGTTCCGACTATAAAAGCCGATAAAAGTTATTTCTTGTTACTGATCAAAGCCGCATCATAAATATGCAAATAAAAATTCGAAAAAACGCAGAGTGCTCTTTTCAATAATTGGAAGTATACTATATAATATGCAGAGTGCTTTTCGGTGATCATCCTCCGTTTATGAAAGTCGAAATACAGCCAGATGCGCGATCTTTCGAGGAATTTAATGCACCTGAATGCCCTTCGAACGTTATAAGATCGTCTCGTGAGGAAGATTTGTACCTCGTATTACGTTTGTCAAAACGGCGTGTAAACAATGTTCCGATGGTTTGCACTTGAATGCAGCAATCAAGCAATGCGACCGGCCGTTTTATAGGATGTTTCTCCGGATCGAGACGGCCGCAGATTCAACCGGATGTATATACTCGAGAACGAGAAAGACGACGCGTTCCGATGTATGGGTAAATGTACGCTGACGTATACCCCAACGATTGCACCAAGTTCTGCAAATGCAGCAGCAGCAGCATTCCGATCGTTAAGAACTGCCCGAAAGGCTTGCATTGCGATAAGAGGACGCAGCTCTGCACTCTTGGCCAAATACAAATAAAATTAAAACGAAAGAAAGATGTGGCTGAGGAATATTGAAGCAGAAAGAAATACGTCAAAGTACAGTTTTTTTAGCGATTATTTGCCGAGTTGAACCGAAGCAATAAATTCGAGTGGCATTCATCTCTTTTTTTTTTTTAATATTATTGACAATATTTTAGAAAAAATTACATCGGTATAAATAAAAATGTAATACGTTTATGTTAATTACGCAGAAAATAATTTATACGATATATCGAACTGATAAAGTTATCAGAGATATTTATAATCTGCATTTCATATCTGATTATTGATAAAATGATAATTATATTAATTCTATAAGAACTTATTTGTTACATTAAAGAATTTTTTCGATTTAATATTTTTTTATATGTCTCTACAAATTACAATTTTAATCCTCATAATATTTTTTTTAAGTAATTTGGAGTTGATGAAGCAAAAGTGACTTCTCTTAGCGAAAGTGCTAAAAATAATTATTTCAACTTTTCAATTTCCAACGTTGTACATATTTAAAACTAAGCTTTTTCTTCTTTTAAATTAAAATTTCAAACTAAAATATACCGTCTATTTGAACTTTTCTAAAATATATACTTTTGTTATCAAAGTTTTTTAAGTTGCAGAATAATTTATATATTATTGCAAAACTTTAATATTTCTTTGCGTAATCTTAATAAAAAAATTTAATATTTTAATTTTTAAATATTATTTTGATCATTGCTCGAGATTAGTATGTTTTTAATTATATTGTGATAAACGAGTTTTGGTAAGATAAGTCTTTGACTGTTACATGCAATATATTATTGATTCTAACAATTAAAAACATATAAATATATAGTATATTATATTAATATATAATATATTTGCATCTGCTTTGAAATTCTTAAATAATTTTTCGAAGAGAAAAATTTTGGCAATGTTAATAGATATGATAAGCCACACTCATGTTAGGTGATAACACTCCGCATGATTATAAAAATCATGTCGAATAGAAGGAAGTGCGACAGTTAACAATTTAATGTGAGTGAAGGAATAGATCCCGGTCCCTATATAACTTTAGCGACTGGGTATCTATGATGAAGGGTGAGTTCTCGATTTATAAAATTCTAACGGAGTGATAAAGCGAAGGCTTATATATTGTAATATATGTACATGCATATATATATACATAAATGATTAAGACGCATTTGATAACTGAATGACTCATTGAATAGCGAATATGTAATCATTTGTGCCAATAAAAAAATTTTGTGCAGTGTAATTAATCGCGTTTATAATTATGTATAAGTGTGCCAACAAGAATATAAAATAATAATAGCAAATATTAATAATATAAATGCAGGTTTAAAATATTTTTAATAATATTATTAATAACATTATTTAATTAATATTTTATTAATGATATTAATAATATTTTGAGTAATATTTTAATAGCTACCTCCTTGTTCTTGTTCACATTTGTAATCAGATTAAAAAATATGATTTATAACTTTAAACAAGAGATAAAAGTAATAAGCAGAGAATTATGTAATAGATATAGTATTGTATAGCACATGATTTATATAATTTGTAGAACTGCATATGCTTATTTAAATAATTATTTTTAACATCAATATGAATATTTTTTCAACAAATATGTTATAATTAGAACAATATGTTAATCTTAATAATTATCATAATAATTTTAGTTTTCTCTTGATTCTCTTAATTCGTTAAATTCTTAAATCATATTATTATTATACATTAAATACTAATTTTAATACAAAATCTTATTAATATACATTAAAATCTTAATTTACTTTGTTATTCTAATATTCGATTTAAATGTTTACGAATAATAAGAGTTCTCGTAAAATTTTATACAACATAAAAGGTGCTAAAGTTTTATTTTTCGTAATGTCTAAGATAAATTTGTTTATAATAAATAAAAGCCACTCATATTAAAATAAATTGAAATAAATAAAAATGAACAAAAAATCTCTTTTTTAAATCTACTCTATTTATTTAATCTATCATTACATTAATGTCATAAATAATCAATATTACATATATTTAATAATTTAATTTAATAATTTCGTATATTTTAGGTATATACTTAGTGGTCATTTTATACGTGGCCACGTTGAGTGTCGCACTCGACGTATCACCGGTGACCGACTTTCCGACAGAATGTCCAACAAATGTCAACCCACGGAATAAAACAATTTTTATTCCCCATGAAAGCGACTGTACAAAATTTTACAATTGCTACATGGGGAAAAAAGGGGAACCACAAGATTGTCCTTTCATGGATAATAATGGGAATAGATTGCACTTCAATCCCAAACTTCAGGTATGCGACTGGCCTTGGAATGCAGAGTGTCAACTATCTTCGATTAGGCCGACGTCGACTCCGAAATTAATAGATCCTACGGCATCATCGATTTCGCCATCAAGTCTTTCAACGTCGAGTGTTGCACTCGACGTATCACCAGTGACTGACTTTCCGACCGAATGTCCAACAAATGTCAAGCCACGGAATAAAACAATTTTTATTCCCCATGAAAGCGATTGTACAAAATTTTACAATTGCTACATGGGGAAAAAGGGGAAACCACAAGATTGTCCTTTCATGGATAATGATGAGAATAGATTGCACTTCAATCCCAAACTTCAGGTATGCGACTGGCCTTGGAATGCAGAGTGTCAACTGTCTTCGATTGGGCCGACGTCAACTGCGAGATTAACAAATCCTACATCGATTTTGCCATCAAGTCTTTTAACGACTACGATTCCACCAAGTTCTTTGACACCGCTAACTTCGTCATCCGATCCTCCTCCGTCGACGACTTCACCATCTAGTGATTCTCCCACAACAAGTTCTTGGACACCGTCGACTTCAGCAAATTCTCCCACGCCGTCAAATACCGCAGAAAACACAGCAGCTACTTCGCCTTCGTTGACTTGTGAGTTCGATAACAAGTATCACATGATTCCCCACGAGACTATGTGCGATTATTATTACACGTGTTTCAACGGGAAGATAAATCCAAAACCAAAGAAATGCGACCGCAATTTACTCTTTAATCCGATTCTTCATGTATGCGATTATCCGGAAAATGTAAACTGCAATCATACTCCTGTGAGAAGTACAACTATTACTACACTTACGTCTTCGTCAACGATGATACAAACAACGCCGTCGACTTCGCCTCTACCTTCTCCGTCGCAAACGACTACAACACCAGCTTCGACAACGATTACAACAGCAATTCCAGCAACAATTAACCCAGAATTAGCCAAACCTCGTCAACAGTGTCCCCCAAAAAAATCAAGCAAAGAATCAACCGAGGTAGCGCGTATCGCTCATCGTTGCCTCTGTAACATTTATTATGAATGCGTGAATGGTGTCAAGATGCAACAAATATGCCCAACTGGCATGCATTTCGATTATGTGCGAGAGGTCTGCGATTGGTCAGAAACAGTGAATTGTGTCCGGCCTATTTCAATGGTTGACGTTTTAATGGGCAGCTGTCAGAGTAATAAATGTTATCCGGAAGGCAGAGCATTTCAACACGAGACTGATTGTTCATCGTATTATTTATGTTTTAATGGTCAAAGAATCTTGAAACGTTGTAATGCGGGACTTCATTTCAACATTACCCTGCAGATATGTGACTATCCGGCAGAAACAGGTTGCAGTTTAACTAAAAATAGAATTAAAAGATCCCTCTCGTTAATCACTCGATTGCTTTGCCCTGCTTCGGATTTCGCAAAAAAAATACTATTGCCCCATGAATGTGCATGCGAAAAATATTACGAATGCGTTAATGGAAAAACACGTCTACGACAATGTCCGAATGGTAAACACTTTGATCACAATCGAAAAAAATGCGACGACGAGGATGAAGCCTATTGTCCATATGTTTGCCCTTGTGCAAATTCTTCAAAAAAAGTTTTAATACCTCACGAATGTAAATGCAACCAGTATTACGAATGTGTTAAGGGAAGGCAACGTCAACGATTTTGCAAAAAAGGTTTACACTTTGATAGTATTGAGAAGATTTGCAAAGACCCGGACGATGCCATTTGCGGAGAATCATCAACAACAACAACTACAACATCTACAACAACAACATCTACAACAACACCCACCACAACATCTACAACAACATCTACAACAACATCTACCACAACATCTACAACAACATCTACAACTCCCCCAGATAAGCCACGAAAAAAGTGTCCTCCTAAAGGATCAAACGAAAAAGCGCGAATTGCTCATCCTTACGCATGTAATCAATATTACGAATGCGTAAATGGTGAAAAAATATTACATACATGCAAGACTGGCAAACACTTTGATTATGTACGAGAAGTATGCGATTGGTATTTCGTAGTGAATTGCGTCCGGCCAATTCCAACATATGATTTTTTAATAGACAGCTGCGACAATGAATGCTCTGAGGAAGGTAGAGCATTTCAACATGAGATCGACTGCTCCTTGTACTATCTATGCTCTAACGGTCAGAAAATTTTAAAACATTGTACGGCAGGATTATATTTCAATGTTACCCTCCAAATATGTAATTATCCGTCTGAAACGAGCTGCGATCTCCCTAATAATTCTCTCGAGGTATTTAATTTAAACGCCGATTGCCCTTTAAATTCCACAGAGAATGCATATATCCCACACAAGTGTAAATGCACGCACTATTATGAATGTATTAATGGAAAAAAGATTCTTCATGAATGTCCGGAAGGTTTGCATTTTGATAAAATTCGACAGATTTGTAACGATCCAATTGAGGCCGATTGCACTCCATCAAAATCCACTCTAACGTCTACTATTTCCACTACGACGTGGACTGAAGAAACTGATAAAACCACGACTAATGATCTCGATCCAGCTAATTGCATCGGTACCTGTCCTGAAGCAGACCCTGAGTATGCAGTATTACTTCCAAACGACGATTGCAAAAAGTTTTGTATGTGCAGCAATGGTATTGCATGGGTTCAACATTGTCCTGAGCCTCTTTATTTCGATACTAAAGATACAGTCTGCAAAAGTAAGAGAGATGCAATTTGCGGAAAACGTGAATTCAATCAAAATAGTGCATTCATGCTTCATAGAATCGATGACAAAAATTCGGTGCAACTGCCGAACGAAGAGAATGATGATCTCGATCCAGTTCATTGCATCGGTACTTGTCCTGAACAAGACCCTGACTATGCAGTATTACTTCCAAACGACGATTGCAAAAAGTTTTGTATGTGCAGCAATGGTATTGCATGGGTTCAACATTGTCCTGAGCCTCTTTATTTCGATACTAAAGATACAGTCTGCAAAAATAAGAGAGAAGCAATTTGCGGAAAACGTGAATTCAATCAAAATAGCGCATTCATGCTTCATAGAATCGATGACAAGAATTCGGTGCAACTGCCGAACGAAGAGAATGATGATCTCGATCCAGTTCATTGCATCGGTACTTGTCCTGAACAAGACCCTGACTATGCAGTATTACTTCCAAACGACGATTGCAAAAAATTTTGCTTGTGCAGCAACGGTATTGCATGGGTTCAACCCTGTCCTGACCCTCTTTATTTCGATTCTGTAGATAAAGTATGTAAGAATAAAAGAGACGCCGTCTGCGGAGAACGTCCATCTACAGAAGATAGCGCATCCATACTTTATAAAATCGATGACAAGAATTCAGTGCAACTGCCAAACGTAGAGAATGATGATCTCGATCCAGTTCATTGCATCGGTACCTGTCCTGAACAAGACCCCGAATATGCAGTATTACTTCCAAACGACGACTGCAAGAAATTCTGCTTGTGCAGCAACGGTATTGCATGGGTTCAACCCTGTCCTGACCCTCTTTATTTCGATTCTGTAGATGAAGTATGTAAAAATAAAAGAGACGCCGTCTGCGGAGAACGTCCATCCACAGAAGATAGCGCATCCATATTTCATAAAATCGATGACAAGAATTCAGTGCAACTGCCAAACGTAGAGAATGATGATCTCGATCCAGTTCATTGCATCGGTACCTGTCCTGAACAAGACCCCGAATATGCAGTATTACTTCCAAACGACGATTGCAAGAAATTCTGCTTGTGCAGCAACGGTATTGCATGGGTTCAACCCTGTCCTGACCCTCTTTATTTCGATTCTGTAGATAAAGTATGTAAGAATAAAAGAGACGCCGTCTGCGGAGAACGTCCATCTACAGAAGATAGCGCATCCATACTTCATAAAATCGATGACAAGAATTCAGTGCAACTGCCAAACGTAGAGAATGATGATCTCGATCCAGTTCATTGCATCGGTACCTGTCCTGAACAAGACCCCGAATATGCAGTATTACTTCCAAACGACGACTGCAAGAAATTCTGCTTGTGCAGCAACGGTATTGCATGGGTTCAACCCTGTCCTGACCCTCTTTATTTCGATTCTATACATAAAGTATGTAAGAATAAAAGAGACGCCGTCTGCGGAGAACGTCCATCCACAGAAGATAGCGCATCCATACTTCATAAAATCGATGACAAGAATTCAGTGCAACTGCCGAACGTAGAGAATGATGATCTCGATCCAGTTCATTGCATCGGTACCTGTCCTGAACAAGACCCTGACTATGCAGTATTACTTCCAAACGACGACTGCAAGAAATTCTGCTTGTGCAGCAACGGTATTGCATGGGTTCAACCCTGTCCTGACCCTCTTTATTTCGATTCTATACATAAAGTATGTAAGAATAAAAGAGACGCCGTCTGCGGAGAACGTCCATCCACAGAAGATAGCGCATCCATACTTCATAAAATCGATGACAAGAATTTAGTGCAACTGCCGAACGTAGAGAATGATGATCTCGATCCAGCTACTTGCATCGGTACCTGTCCTGAACAAGACCCTGAGTTTGCAGTATTACTTCCAAACGACGACTGCAAGAAATTCTGCTTGTGCAGCAACGGTATTGCATGGGTTCAACCCTGTCCTGACCCTCTTTATTTTGATTCTGTAGATAAAGTATGTAAGAATAAGAGAGACGCCGTTTGCGGAGAACGTCCATTTAATTAACGTCGCGTTTTTATTAATAAAACAATCAAGATAGAAAAAATGTTTGGGAGATTTCTAAAGATACATTAATGAATGAACTTCTAAAAGTACATTTTAATGAATGAACGTCTAAAAGTATATTAATGAATGAAGAACGTAGCTTTTAATTTAAGCTAATTAATTTCTGTCAATTTCTTTTAGTGTCCAAGACTTTACAAATTGATATTGCATTTACTTATTTATACATATAATCTTCTAATGTAAAGTTTTGAATTTATTTAAATTTAAAAAAATTTAATTTAAATAGAATTTGATATGCATTTATTTATATCTCGCATACTTACGAAAAATAATTATTGTTCGCTGATAGTTATTTATTTATAGAATCATCAGAATAAATCAATTTGTTGTAATTTAACATGGATTTCGTCTTATTATAACTTATAAACTAAAATTTCTTTTTAGTTCTGTACGTTATAATAAATCTGGGAATCACCATAATTCGTGCCTATAATTTTTTGTTATTGTCTTTATAGATATACATAGAATATGAATTATTACTATGGATTATATCTATATATTTTAGCCTTATATTAACAGAATTTAACAATTTAATAGAAATTAAAAAATAGTGATAATGCTTTCTTAATTCAGATTTTAATATTTCTCTGATGTGAATTAAATGAACTTCGACATTTTAGCAAAGTGTACTAAAGAAAGAAAGCGTCTAATATTTACGTAAAAATATTTTATAATAAAATGTTCGACACACCTATACATATCTATAAATATAACTTTCATATTAAATTTCTTCAACATTATTAAGCTAATAATAATTTTATTTGATTTCAAATTTAATCACATGTGAATTTAACAAAATCAATATTTATATATTAACTTGCTAATATCTGGTTTTGCCGAAATAAAGTTTGCTAATAAACAGATGGCAGTTATTCCCCAATTATTCGTCAGTTCAGCTTTATTATACTCGTTAAATATTGTTAACAAAAAATTTATACATATAAGATTAAGTGGGATTACAATCTTGCTATCTAGAATTGTATCACGTAATATCCTAGAATTTGGTTTATCTCTCAAGCGTCATTAATTGAATTCCGATTTAAATTCCGTGTTTCCTCGACGAGGGATTACTCTTTCCTCAGCATCCTCACACACTCTCTATCATCTTCAGGCACTGCATCGCGCAATTATTCTTCGACGAGATATTCATAACATATAAAACTAAATCGCGGTGAAGAGAGAGAAAAGCGAGAAGTTAATTCAACATCGATAGAGGTGTTACACAATTATTCGTAAATTCGGGGGTGAAGAATTTTCGATATACATCAGTCTCAGAAAGGGGAGAAATTAGGGAGTTTGGAGGAAAGAGAAGAGAGAGGATGCTACGCGAGGTTCTTTATTGTACATCGTCGTAATTGCCGATCATGTCCGAAAGGGAGCCGGGTCGTGTAGAGACGCGCGATGTTATATGCTTGTTATCGATGTCCGAGCTCTCAAAGTCACGGAACAGAACCTGCTCCTTGTTCTGTCTGATCTTCTCCTGCCTCCGCTGTTCATTTTGCCGTCGAGCGTCCTGGATCAGCTTCAAAATTTCCCAAGCACCGTTCAACTCCGTCAACATCGGCGTGATGTCACTTCGTTTGCCGTATCTACATATATTGGTAATACTTTTTTAATCTTAATATCACAATCAATTATATTTTACATTACATAATTGAAGCAACCCTGTTGTTTCTTTTTTGCACTCTGTTGTTTCTTTCTTATTATAATTGTGTGCAATTATTATGTATTAATTATTTGAAAAAAGCTTTGTTTTTATCTGACATTTTTATTTTAATTGTTATCATATATATATTGATTTGGTAAATGCTTTCAGCAATATTATTCATTATTTTATATTGCAAAAATAATATCTCACAATATATTTCTGTCATGTAGACTTTTTTATTATAATTGTGCGTGCAATTATTATCTATTAATAATTCGAAAAATTATTCGAAAAAAAACTTTTCATCTGAGATTTTTATTTTAATTGTTATCATATATATTGATTTAGTAAATGCTCTCAGCAATATTATTCATTATTTCATATTGCGAAAATAATATAGTTTTGTCAATGTAGACTTTTTTTATCATAATAGCGTGCAAAAATATTATCTATTAATAATTTGAAAAATTATTCGAAAAAAGCTTTCTTTGCATCTGAGATTTTGATTTGAATTGTTCTCATATTTAGTAAATGCTTTCAGCAATATTATTCATTATTTTATATTGCGAAAATAATATCTCACAATATATTTCTGTCATGTAGACTTTTTTATTATAATTGTGCGTGCAATTATTATCTAATAATAATTCGAAAAAAGCTTTTTATCTGAGATTTTTATTTTAATTGTTATCATATATATTGATTTAGTAAATGCTCTCAGCAATATTATTCATTATTTCATATTGCGAAAATAATATAGTTTTGTCAATGTAGACTTTTTTTATCATAATAGCGTGCAAAAATATTATCTATTAATTATTCGAAAAAAGTTTTCTTTGCATCTGAGATTTTGATTTGAATTGTTCTCATATTTAGTAAATGCTTTCAGCAATATTATTCATTATTTCAAATTATGAAAATAATATGTCACAATGCTTGCTGACGATCGCTACCTCGCTTTTCCGATCACGTAATAACGATTTCTGAGCTCATCGGCAAATTGTTTCATCTCTTCGATGCTCTTCGGTCTAGCCATGGGTTCCGGCTCGGCGTGGACTATTGATATTCCGACAATGATGGCCAGAAGAAGCCAGCAGAAAAAGTGAGCGAGGCTCCTCATCCATGTCCGCATGTCGAACGGCTTGAAGTAGCGATGGTCTCAGTCAGTTGCTGCAACGACGAAGCTTATTTTAGCGTATAGAGCCAGAGATCTCCAGGGGATGGAAGCGATACGTAAGGGCTTTGAAACTTCGTTTAAACCCATGTGTGATCGACCCACGAGAAAAACGCGGGAACATTTTCCTCTTTCCGTTTTGCGACGAAACTTTCTGTGACGCGGATCAAACGAATACAATCAAAAGTTTCTTAGCGTAATACAGCTTCCGAAAGTAGTCAAACTTCTATCTGAGGATGATCAAGCACCGGGGCTGCCCACTTGCTTACGAATATACGACGTCTTCCGAAAGAAGGATGAAGTGGGGGCTTAAGAGCGAAAGATAATTAGGATGCAAAAATTAACGCGCATCTTCGACCTCTCTCTCGAAGATGAAGAAGAAGAAGAAGAAGAAGAAGGCGGAAAATTCTTGGAGAAATTGTTGCTGAGAGAAATGCTTTGTTCCTGAAGAATGCCGCGTCGGGCGATCGTTGCGCCCTAAATTAAAGGAAAGTTATGTTCCCAACGTCATTCATTCCAAGAATCACTAAAGCTAAATTTAGTCGTTCCTCTACTGTGAATGCGGATAAAATTGGCCGTTACTATTACTGCATACTCTACTTATCCGCATGTATTGCAAGAAATATTTGATTAAATTTTCACAATTTGAAAAATTAAAAAATCAGACTCAGGTATTTTAATCGCAAGTGTATAAAATTACATTCTTGGAATATTAAGTTATGTATTTTATAAATTTTGGAGATCTATAGTAAAATGGCGTAATTAAATAATATATATGAAGTTTGACAAATGCCATAAGCTGTTATGACGATTGTAGATACGCAAAAATATGAAGGAATACAAGGTTACAAATTTGTATTTAATTCTTTTATTTCATAAAGTTATGCAATTCTAAATATGTAAATAAAGTTGGTGCATCATGTCGATTATTAAGAATAATCAATCAATAATATTTATATAAGAATAAAAAGTTTTAATTACTTTTTTTATATATAAATTATATTGTAATTTACGAAGAAAAAATCCACAATGTTTATCTATCAGATAAAATTTATTATTTTACTTTAATAAAAGTCATCAAAATAACTTCCGCAATATTTATTATATTTTTATCTTACTTAATTTGTTACAAATAAAAGATCGAAGCGTTAATAAATTGAGTGTATGCGGATATTCGGCCGAAGATTAAATTATGAGAATAAAATTTTAATCATTGTATAATAAAATTCATTTTTCGCTTATTTGTATTGCTAATCTAATATAGTTTTGCTCAATAAAAATAAGAAAAAAAATAAATTAATAATATTAAAAATTAATAATATATATATATATATATATATATATATATATATATATATGGAATTTCTATTATATAAAATTAATCAATTAAAGAATCAAGCAAAAAAAATTATTGCAGCAAAGATTTTATAATTGAAATGCAGTAGAATTCACGGACGAAACAAAACCGTAAAGTTAAGTTACCTGTTGCATCCGACAACTTTATCAATAGACGGACTCGATGAAGAATACCGAATCGTGTGAAACCAACTGTCAAAGTATAGTTGATCGGCAAATTATAAGTCTCATTTTGTATACTTAATATTCCATCTTCGAAAGTATACCGAAACTTTCCCATATCACATGACATGATCGAGCATTATTGCCGTAATAAATATAAGAGATATACAAAACTAATTCGAGAAGTCCAAACATCATCAATAAATTAATGCATGACACATGCTTCTTGATCTTTTCGATTTTCTTGATTTTTTGTGAAAAAATGTGTTCAATAAGTTGCGGTTGTGCGCCGTGAATTATGCTTTGAAATTGAATACCTCCAGGACGCAATTTAGATTTAGAAAACTATTATAGAACGGATATTTTCTATTTTCTCAAAGTTTTTTGTTGTATTACACGTTCTGAAATTTCAGCGCATTTCTTGAGCGCTTTGTGATATAGGAATACGTCGTCGATCAAACGTATAATACTTTATTTTTGAAGAACACGGAGAACCGTATTTTTAGAAGTATCTCGGTGAACTTTGAACTAAAGGGATGAGAATCGTGCGCTCCATTTTTTAAAGGATTGAAAGAATTTTTATTTTTATTGTTACCGGATAAATAGCTGCAATTCCATATGCTTCGCATATTTTCATATCTTTCGAATACAGAACGATAAATTCTGAATTGACGCGCGAAAGAAAAGTGCGAGATATTATAAATTGCGGCATCTATTGAAGCGCGAAAGATTTTGATATATTTTATATTAAGTACAAAATATTGATGTCTAACATATCCTCTCACATGTATTTATATAGACATTCTTATTCTTAAAATTTCTCAAAATATAGTATAAAATAGGTAATTCGTTTTAAGTAATCACACGCACAATTCTGATGACAATCGAGATATTTGATGAAATAAAAAATAAATTTATAATATAATGGAACTACATATGAATGTATTATATCATATAAATATAATTTATTTAATAATTAACAATATTGTCTTTTTTGTATGTATGTTTCTTTGATGTTGTGCTTGTAAGTTTTAATTAAAAATGCCAATGAATTTAAAAAATAAATACGTGCAATAAATATTTTTTATTAAAAAAAAATGTTAGAGCGAAAGCATGTGTGAAAAAAGGAAAATTTGTATCGATAAATTTAATCAAAGACTGTCGGTTCCTTTTAACAAATTTCACTAATTATTGAGAATGAAATAATCGAAATATAAATCATTCCTCGTTAAAATAGATAATAAAACAAATTTAAAAAATAAATACGTGCAATAAATATTTTTTATTAAAAAAAAATGTTAGAGCGAAAGCATGTGTGAAAAAAGGAAAATTTGTATCGATAAATTTAATCAAAGACTGTCGGTTCCTTTTAACAAATTTCACTAATCATTGAGAATGCAATAATCGAAATATAAATCATTCCTCGTTAAAATAAATAATAAAACAAATTTAAAAAATAAATACGTGCAATAAATATTTTTTATTAAAAAAAAAAAAATGTTAGAGCGAAAGCATGTGTGAAGAAAGGAAAATTTGTATCGCACACATAACCGTATAATAATGCAGATAAAACAAGGTCCATGAGACGTAGAAACGTGCCGAAATGAAACGTACTCAACTCGAAGAGATCGCAAGTGTTGAAGGCGCTGATAACGATTTTCGCGCTTAATGTTTAGTAGTGTAGGCCGTGCCGGCACGTGCAACTCAATGAAAATATCATTGTTGGCCGACATTGTTACTACCGTAAGACTACATCGTCAGTTATACGGAGCGCGAGTGAATGCAGACTTCGTCTTATACAATGAACCGCGCATCGGTATGCGCTCGTTTTGATATCGTCGCTCTCTGCCACGTTTACAATTACGACTTTTCGCTTCTCCCAGGATAAAAATAGCGTAGCGAAATTAAATTACGGTGCCAAATACGATAATGATCCCAGACGCGGTGTCTCGGGAACGCGTTGCATTCATTGTTAACTGCATCAGAAATGCACCAAGTACTCGAGAGAGTAAAACTGTATTCACGCGATCTATATCTAGAATTACGTCATTGAATTTTGCAACGTAATTTCGATGCAATGCGAAGAAACTTCGAATTCGCATTCTATCTTTTCAACAAATTTTGTCTCTTTTTTATGCGATATAATTATTACATTTTGCGAGCTGTATAATTAAAGATATATGAGCCTATTGATTTTTCTTCGATGGATCTATATAAGATATATTACGGTTCCTTTCGATGGAATAATAACGATCGCACGGATTGGAGAGGCGAGATTATTTTTTCGAGTTAATGCGTGATTAATCCAATCTTTTACGATATCGTATCAAATTTTATTAGTCCACTGAAGGCGACTATAATGTTTAGATAACGACAGATTAACGCTGGCAGCATAATGATGCATCGAAAATTCGCACTACCATAGAAAATGTCACGATGTTATGGATGAGTGTAATTATAGTTATTACTCGTCCAATTTTAATCTTCAACTTTTCAAGAATATATTCTAATCAAATGCATTTTCTAGATGTATATGTAATTATCTCGGCGGAAAATATTTTTGACATATCAAACGAGAAATCGGATAAAAAACTAGAATTGTATGCATATGATTCTCTCAATCGTGTGTATCAAATTATTTCGCCAATAAATAATGAAAGCGCGATTCTTTGAAAACTCGCGAACTCGATAAACCATAAAGACGATCTATTGCTGGCTCGATCTCACGATTCTCGGAAATTAATTACGTGACCTTTACGGGGATCTAAAGTGACAATATTGCCCACCAACAAGCGTCGCGAACGTTTAAGTTCATCACGTCCAACGCGCTTGGCATTTTTCATAAAGTTGGAGAATGCCGAATCGGCCATCTTTTCACCTTATAGCAGCTAAAAGGCTAAAAGAATACGTTGTTAGACTTTAAGGCGTCGCGTAAGATATCCGGCGCGAAAATCTCGGTTTAAATAGTCGACGAAATCCCACCATGTATATTATACCACATTTTCATATTAAAAATACAATATTGCGGAATAAAATCGGCTATTTTAACAATATTAAAATATGTTCAATAATAGATGTATTTTAAAATTTATTTTGATAAAAAAATAATATGAAAATTTCTTACAAAAAATAGATTCGGACACCTCAGAGATATCCGGCGCGAAAATCTCGGTTTAAATAGTCGACGAAATCCTACCATGTATATTATATCACATTTTCATATTAAAAAATGCAATATATATTGCGGAATAAAATCGGCTATTTTAACAATATTAAAAAACAATGTTCAAATAGATGTATTTTAGAATTTATTTTGATAAAATAATAATATGAAAATTTCTTACGAAAAATAGATTCGGACACCTCAGAGATAAAGAATTGGTATTTCTGAGAAAGTATATTAAAATGACATAATATACGTTATCGAAATGTATCATTAAAACGTATTTTTTATATTTTTTGATATAATTACAAAACGTTAATTTTGGAATTTCCCTAAATAAATCTCTTCTCCTTTTAGTCCGGAGAAATTATTTTCGTCACTTTAATTATAAACCGCCAAAACAAAATGTAATTCTTTAGGCTATGAATAATGAGGAACCAGGAACGATTTTAATTTGCTGATAAACAGGCGACATATAGGCGTCGGAATAAATTCGTTGAAAAATAAGCGCGCCACGAACGAAACGCGAAATGACAAGGGGACGAAAGGCCGTTTCGCTAAATATGGTAAACTTCATTGTGTCGCGTCCTAATACACGCAATTATACAGTCCAAGTCAGAATGGAGTGAGTAAAGCAAGCACGACCGATTACAGCGATAACGAAGCTATCGAATCAATCACGAAAGTCGATTTTCAGACGCGTTCTTCTGTGATGATGACATGCTCATCGCACAATGACTGATTACCACATCTGATAAAATATGTATATTTTTGATTGTGGTATCATTTATCACAAATTTTTTACATTTAGAACAATATTTTATAATAAAATCAATTGGCTATTAAGATTTTGGCTAGTAATAATTTCAGTACACTGAAAAAAATGTTACCTTGACTAGACCTTTCAACTAAATTACTATTTTATTAATTGAACATATATTAATATTTAAGTAAAATTTACGTTTTGTTAGATTTAATATGTTAATTTAATTTAAATATTTTTACACGTTTAATTAATAAAATAATATTTAGTTGAAAGGTTTAGTCAAATTAATAATTTTTTTCAGTGTCTATATACAAAATTATTTTACTGTAATGTAAAAATTTTTATTTGCCAAATCATATGCAAATTGCTTTTTAAAAAAATATTACTAATACCAAAAGCAATATCGCGCGATACAAATTCCTTATTAAGTACATTATAAAAATGTACTGTGTAATTTTAAGATAATTAACCATATATAAATTAATATATTAAAAATGCTAAAGATAATAAAGTAATAAAGTATGAAAATTTGCATACATTTGTTGATAAAATAGTATTTATCGCAGAGTTAATTAGTGATGCATTAATTTCAAAATTTGATTGATCAAATATAATGCATAATATTAAATTATATACCATATTATTTATTCGATTTACATTTGTAACTGCGATTTCAAAAATGATAAAATAATATATCGTAAATCACATCAAATATTATCGTAGTAAAAAAATGCATAGAAATTGCTATAATTTGATTATGATGAAAAGAGCCTATATATAATTGTAATATTAAAAACAATTATTTTCTGCTTCATGTACACTGAAAAAAAATTTGTTATCTCAACTAAATCTTTCAACTAAATATTATTTCGGTAATTGAACATATAAAAATATTTAAATTAAATATAACAACATATTAAATCTAACAAAATGTATATTCGACTTAAACTAATATATGTTCAATTAAAAAAATAGTAATTTAATTTTTAAACAAATTTTTTTCAGTGTAATTAAATTTACCTTTTTTAAACATATTAAAACAAAATTATATTTGGCATCACAATTGTACGAAAAATAAAAAAAGTAGTTAACAAACATAAAAATAAAAAATATTAATGATGAAAAATTTCCGAAATCAATTTATAAATGAAAGAATTCCACGCACCCTTTCGAATGAATCAAGTCAAGGAACTCCACACATACTCACCGATCGACAAACAAATCTCCGCCACGCTCGACTAACGAATCGCGATCGTGGACGAATATTAGCTCGCACTCGAGGGGAATTCTAAGTCGGTCTCACTGACACCTGGCGATCTCTTCGTCACCTATTCGATGTATGTTCTTTCTGATGTACTAGCGAACGTTTCAGTAGTTCGGATCGGCTGCTGAGCCGCCGACAGGAGTATATATACCGAAGGCATCCTCCGACGCAGCCTCAATTGCAACCAGTTGTAGCCAATCCCTCCTCGAGTCCAACCCCTCCAGTTACCCTTCTATACTCGCGGATGCTGGCTCGTGGATCTTTCTTTCATGGATCCCCTCGCGCTCGCACGATCGCGCCTTTGCTGGGTAAAAACGCTAAGCGATAATCGTTTAACTCGATGCGGAAGGATTGTTTTTCCTTTATCTCTAATAATACCAATAAATCGCAAAACAATGCGAATTTTAATTGACTCTTAATTTCAATCGTTTGCCAAATGCATATCTACATTCTTCTTTTGCACGCGGGCTTGTTAAAAGTCAAGAACCGTGTATTATTATATTCGTTTAAAAATATGTATATTTCATTATTATTCTTCTGTAACGGGGGATGTTCGCTCTTATGCTGCTGAATACGGAAATTGCGGAGATCCTATAATTCTTGGCGAACGATGCTTGCAATAACGAGCTGATCAAAATCAAATATTATCACAATAAATCATTCATCAAGAGATTAGATACGCACGACCGAATTTCACATAGAAATATCAAGATTATTATATTATACTATAATTGATCGTGTAAAAAATTGTAGGACTTTACCTATTTTTTTAATTATACACCTGATTTTTATTGTCAACCGAGGAGATACTGTAATATACATATAGCAACAGCTTTGACTGTAATCCTATTATTCAAATTTCCTCCCCCGAGTCCACTCGTCTCTTTTACATATATCAATCTGATAAATGAAACAACCTTTATATTGAGCTCCGACTACGATTTATTCGCCGATTATTTTGCACGTCCAGTGGTCGAACGATTACGATGTAGGTCGAGTAGATATCAACTTGGAAAAACTTTAAACAGAGTATATAAGCACCGAACTTACGATCGGACAAACGTTTAAATATCCTTCGATACTTTAACTTTTAAATGGAGAAAATGACGCAAGCTTACACGTGTCGCGAAATCTGGCGATAACGAGAAGGAGCGAGGAAAATCGGTTAAGAAGCATAATCCCTCACATGTGCGTGGGTGGATAAAGCGGATCGTGATGGAAATACTGGTCAATAAGAACTCGACGAGGGATGATAGGTCGATCAGAAATATTGTTAATAAAGAGATCGTTCTGTGACGTGAGAATCCGCCGTCATTCATTTTCGACTGTTATCGCAAACTCCGTTAATTCGTACCTTTGCCGATATTGATTACTTTGATTCTTCTTTTCGTTTAGATTTCCAAGTTACATATATACAATATATATGAGGTCCAGAGAAGTTATCTTGTTCTATATATATATATTTATATTGAGTACAAAAAATTGTATCAGAAGTTGTGTAACTTTTCGCGGTTAAATATAGCGAGATTAAATCTAAAAAAGATATTACATCCAGACATTATCAATCTCATCCGATTAGAAATTTATTATTTAATGTAAAAAATTATTAAAATTTAATCAACCAAAAATTATTATATTATTTATAAAAAAAATTAATAAAATATTATTATTGAGTGACGAGAGTCATACAATTCTTAAAATTGAAAATTATTTTTTAATGCAAAATACTGGATCTTCGCTCCGAGACACATGCGCTTATTTGATTATTTCATCTAGTTGTTCAATAATAAAGATTGATGAGATGAATAAATTTTATCTGAACTTTACCTAAAAATAAACTCATTTTAATTTTGTAGAAACAGCTGTGTAAAAGTTGCAATTTTTAAACATTTAAATCATATTTTATAACATAGCATTAATTAAAATATAAATTTTTAATATAAGACGGGACTTGCAAGAGAAGAAGACAGAGAAAGCGTATATATGAATATACACAGGCAATTTTAAGAACGAATCTCATATAAGAAATAATCTTGAAATTATTCACAGTAGTAGCTTACAAAGTGTATATATTAACAAGATACTTATCAGGATAAAATTACTCTCTCAGTTTTAAAAAAGAGAAAGTTTAACATAGCTTGTTATCATCCACTTGTTCTTAATTTTACGCGAACAGAGAAGTACTTTATGATATGATGCGAGAATCCCGCGTTTACGAGGGTTCTGTTTCTTAAGCTTTCTTGACATACCACATATCACCTCTTTCCAACGATTCTTCTTACTCCTATATATCCCCCAAATAAGTTTTCGCTCTTATCACTGTTGTTGATTTATGTCAGTCAAATGATTTTGCGGATGTTCCTCGTTTGGTTCATTAGAACTTCACAATTTACACTCAAAAAATTGTGTTAACTTGACTAAACCTTTAATTAAATTACTATTTTGTTCATTGAACATACATTAGTATTTATTAGATTTAATATGTTATATTTAATTTAAATATTTTTATATGTTCAATTAACAAAATAATATTTAGTTAAAAGGTTTGGTAAAGTCAACAATTAATTTTTCAGTGACATGGTTGTCGAGTCGCACTCATCAAAGAAGCTTAAGTTAGTCTAAGTTCAGAGGATATTCTTATCCTTCCTTCGAAGGAAAGCGAGGAAATAAAATTATCACGAAGAGAGAAATTAACAAGAGCTGCGTCCGAGAAGCATATTTCCGTTGTTCATTGTAGTTATGGGATTTTTAATTCAAACTAAGTACGCGCTCGCATTCGTATATTTAAATACACTTAAAATACGTTTTGCACTCGCGAAGCGCACTCGTTTCACAGGGGAAGTTATAGAGAAGTTTGACGGTAGGTGAGTTAACCGACAAAGTTACAACCGGTTCCGTAAAGCGCGGGTTGCAGTTATTGCAAGCTCGGAAAGAAGCTCGAGTCGAACCAGGATGATGATGTACGTGTATATGTGCGCGGGCGTGTGTATAATCAATCGTAACAATTCAACATAAAGTGTAGGGTATGGGGTCTTATCAAATTTGCATTTAAATTAAATTTATATTTCGCAAAATTAAAGTATGAATTCTTTAAACGTTATACGAAATATTGATTAAGAAGCTATATCTCATCTTATGAATTTGCAACTTTATTTGCGCAAGCATAACTTTTTATTGATATATGGAATAATTTTATATAATAATTTTTCTATAATATTAGTTATTATATTTTATATTAATATATTTTATATTTTAATATTAATGTATTTTAATAATAAATATTAAATTTTTTAGATCTGAGATCGAATATATCTCATTTACGTTATTTATCTGTATTTTACAATAGAGTTGTTACACGATTAAATCAACTCTTTTTCAGGCCAGTGAACTTACCTTTATTGGCCACAATCATTCTGGTTACATCTAATTAGAGATGTAACTGTGATTTCTATCAGAGATATCAATGAAGGAGAGAAATTCTTTCCGTTTCCGGCTAATTATTATCGCCGGTGCATGAACGAATTTTACGTAAGAAATCACGATCGTTTGTTAAACATCAATCAAAATTATTTTATTTATATATTTTTTAATATAAATAAATATATATATATATATAATTATTTATAATAAAATTTGTAATAAATTTAGACTAAAATAAAATTCATTAAAAACGTTCATATTATATACACTATTTAATTGATTGATAATTTGGTCGACTTACATCAATCAAAGTAAAGTCTTTTTATATGTCACACTACATAGATGGATAAACTACAAAAAAATTAGGATAATCAACGTTTGTTAAAAGAATAAGTTATTTATATAACACAGTTGTTACTATATGTACAATTAATAAAATCAAATGTGCGCTCTTTAAATAAAATAAACAAGAAAAATCTAAATTAAAATTTGATATATCTTTCTTTGATTAATACTTTAATTTATACTTATATGTAATATGCTTTAATTATGTATATTGAAGACATAGGTATATCAAAAGTCCAATCTAAGTAAGATGATCTAATTTATTCTAGTCTATCCATTTTAAGGCAACGAATCTATCTATAATCTAAAATCTACAACTATGATCCATAAATTCGTTACCCCAAAATTAAATAAAAATTTATCTCACTCACCGACACCGATGCAGAACAACTGAGTAGTTGATGTTAAAACTACGTTGTCTGTAACATACGAATATAAAATCCAAATTATAACAATTCAAATTAATTATTTATTACTTTAAAAAATTATTAGATGCAAACTTTATACTTGGTGCATAACAAAATAATAAAATATATATAAATATATAATAAAATAGTTTTATAAATTAAAAAAAATTTCTTGAAGTAGAAAACTTTTATAAAATTTATATAAATATTTATATGTATAATACCTCTGAGTTTCTCTTATTTAAATTGTGCAAATAAGTGAACTGAATTAATGTGAATTATAATAATTAATATAATTAATAAATAACGATACACACCTTAGGATTGCACCGCAAGTACCTGATGCCTCTCCTAAGCTTTCTCCTCCTCTCAGGTTGTCAGGGTTGTCAAAATCTGTTGATTAACACGCGCGATATTTTTAACGGCACTCCCGCACTCGTATACGCGATTTTTTAACGGCACTCCCGCACTTGTACGCGCGATACTTTTAACGGCACTCCCGAATTTTATGTTGCCTCTCTGTAACATATAATTATAAAATCTAAATTATAGCAGCGTTCAAACTTTATCTCTTTATATAATATAGTATATAATTTTATATAAAAATTATTATTATATAATAATTATATACACTTAATTATTTCATTTCTCTCGAATATCTACACTAGAAGAAAAATGTTAATTAAATCACAAAAAGTAATCTAACGAAAAAATGTATGAATAATACTAGATAAATCTTGCGCGTGATATATGTATATATATTCATTTTATGGAAAATATCTTGACATTCGCTCCTATATGCAAATATTATTTCGTTACATACATTAATTAAGCTTTATCTGCGTAATTCCCATTCATGTCAGTTACTTTTTGATTATGTCCGAGTAAAAAAGAGCACACAATAAAATTGTTCAGTAATATACGCAGAAAAAACGCTTACAATTATGCAAAATTGTTGCTATAAATTATAAAAGTATCGCGCTGATGTTTTATATATTCAGAATACCAAGCTATCGTTCAAAAGGAAACACATAGCAATCCAACATATTATTACTAATTTTCCTTTCTTGATTTTGTTAAAAATATGTGTGAAATGGTTATTATTACTTAATTATTTTTTATCTTTTCCAATGTAGTAATATATAATTTTATTTTAGAAATTTGAATAAAGAAATGATACCATCTTGAGGGTCTGCTGCGATTGCGCACCGAACAAAGTGCTAAGAAGTAGACTCTATAGATAAAGACTTACATCTGTAACTTACCTGGTGCAGGTAAGTTACAGGAAAGTACAAGCGTATCTAATATTAATTTATTTATTAATTTTTGATAATATATTATTTGTAAATTAACAACAAGAAATTAATATAATAGCCAATGTTATAATATTTTAAAGATGAAACGTTGATTTGTATATTATAAATATATTTATATTTATATCTCTACGATAAATACCATATCTTATTTTGCAATTTTATGATTAACATAATCATCATATTTACAAACTTTATTTTTGAAAAATGCTGCCAAGTTGTATAAAAAGATTAATTGTCTGAGAAAATAATTTAATATATTCGAACATGTTTTCAAAATTGATATGTTAAAACTTCCAACTTTTTAGATAGTTTGAAAAACTTAGATAGCCTCGAGCCAAGTCGATCTCCAACCATATTAATTATTACTCCAATTATCGTATCTCCGAAAATCGCGAATGCATGAAAAAGAAGATCATCACCGGCGTTCGCCAGTCTTGTTCCTTCGATTCGGATACCTATCGCGAGCGTCGAAAAACAACGCTATACCCTAATAAAGATCACGAATCCGAGGAACGATTGGGAAAGAAAAAAAGAATAATAATAACAACAACAAAACGTATAGATAAAAAAAGAAGAGATACCGTCGACGGTATATACAAGACCGACCTGCGGACGACTCCAACGAGGTCGTAGTGGGGAAGAAAACAGGGTAAGGGAAGAGACACCTACCACACATGAGCAGGAGAAGGAAGCTAACCACGATGATTATTCGTGACGGTGGTGGTGGTGACGAAGAAGAAAAGTGGTGGTGGCAGAATCTCCGCAACAGGTAGAAGAAAGAGGGGACGAGAGGCAAAGGAAGAGGAAAAAGGCTCGGAACGCGTCAGAGAGACGAAGAAGAACGCCGGGAGAGAACGGTCATTGCCACTACCTCACCTCGAAGAGAGAGCCTAACCATACGCGCTAGAGTCCCAGTCGTGACGAAAAGCGTCGACCCCGACACGGTCTACCATCCGCGGCTGTCCCGCAGTTTAGCCTCGCCGTCCGTTTGTATACCTTCCTACCTACACACCTCACCTACCTATACCCATCTATCTACCTACCGACTCGTGGGGGGCTGTTGTTGGCTCCTCTCTCACGAGGACGCGCGCGCTCGCTCTCGGCCGATGCGTGTCTCGTCGTGGCCTGCCGATTCTTCGTGCAGGGGAAGCGAGACCGCGAGCGAGTCCCACCTGGATCGAGGGATCGCTTGATCCAGAAGTCGTGGAAGCGAGCAAACCAGTTCGATAGGTGCCAGCCGTGGCGAGCAGATCGGAGGAAGCCGGCGGCCGCTTAGTCGAGAGAGCTTGCACGTTTCTGTCGGCGAATCCGACTTGTCGCGGGTGGAGGTCGCCGGGTCATACAGATGAGACCGGGAGGCGCCGGAGACTCCACCAGTTGACAGGCTTCGACCACGTGGCCGCATCGGGTGCACGTCATATCGCGGAGCGAGAGTGCCCGGACCTGGGTACCAATAAGTGAACCCGAAAATCCCGATTCGGTACCGTCTAAAAGCGACGATGCACCGTCGCGTGATCTGAGTGGATTCCGGAGCAGAGACGCGACAGAAGAAGAAGCAATAGCAGCTCGGCGGTGTCAGTCAAGGTATGCTTATATGCGTCTCAAGGTCCCGGGTATATGAAGAAGCGTCGTACTTTCTTGCGCGGATGACCTTCGCTGAGATTACAACAGACAACAGGTCGCGGTTCGGTATTTTTATTTTTTTTTTCTAGCCGGAGAGAGAGGGCGACGTACTTTCGCGGATAATTAAGCGGTTCATGGTGGATACTGAACTCGGGCGAACAGGTGGTTTCTCCTGCGGTCTCTCGGCCTTGATCCTCGGGGTCAACACCGGCGCGATTTTATACTTTTTCTCGTTTCTGCGGTCGGATATGGTCGGCAACTATTGATAGATCGACAGAGTCCGATTTCTCCCGAACCGAAAAGAATATTATAAATTTCATTACAGAAACGTTTCATAGATTCTCATCATTTTGAAGACGAGAACGTCATTTTTTCGAAGCAATCGGCAATCTCTGGAGAAAACAGCTGATGATGACAGCTGTCAAATGTATCATTAAAAGTATTAAAAGTTTGCTTTGAAAATAAACTGTAGCCGCAGAACTGACTTTACGAATAGATGATTTTAAAAATAACAAAAGTATATAATGATGGATGAAAAAATTGCATTCGATTAAAAGGAACTTGTACCAAGCGACGAGTAGAAAAATGCTAGATTACACAATGGTTTCATTTCGGTAAGTAGCAATATTATCCGCTTGATGAACACGGTTTATTGGCCGAATAATCAATTCAGAATTTCATATGTGTACACCGCCGTGACGTACCACATCGACGAGCGGGACACATTGCCGATCCGTTGTCGAAGTTAACCGCATGTTCTTCAGAATAGCGGTATACCTGACTCGTTTCAGCTGAATTTCATTCGTACGTGGCACCCGGGCACCCGTGCGTGTACCTGTACGCGTGTAAACTAACATCTGTCTCGGATTTTACGTAGTTTCATGCATTATTCAAGCGGTCTCTCGTCGAAAAAATCTGGTATTCTTTGAAGAAACGTGTTTATTTCGACAAAGTGGCTCTTAAACCCTTCTCTAAGACGAGATGAATTATCGCTTATACCCTCGTTACTCAAAATATGTCTGTAATTCGTTCGAACTATGAGGCTGAAATAACTCGGAGTTGCCAGGGAAGCTTATAATCTAAATAAATCCGCGGCGACGTTTTTCTTCTACTTTCGATCTTAATTGAATCTGTTTCGATACTTTAAATCAGATCAAGTCCTCCTTCATTTTTCAAAATTATTTAATTTACAGTTTTGCGAAAAGTTTCTCTTTTAATTCTTGAAGTGGAAAACTGTTTGTTTAAGTCTATTTGAAAAAAGTAAGAATTAGTATATTATTATAAAAGTACATGATTCATCTAAAAATCTGTAAATTGAAAATAGCAAAATTTCCACTCAGAAATAGCTTCTTAATCGATCTTTAGAGATCTCAATTAAGATTCAAATAGTGGACTTGTAAATAACCGGATAGTTCTATGAAATTCTCGGGTAATTTACTTGATGATAGAAGCTGACAGATATCGTCATCGTAATCAAAGTCCAAGTCAATTTTGCATATATATAATCAGTGTTTGCTGTTATCTAAATAAAATTATATAAATGATCATCTAGATAGAATTTTGGCGTCATCTTATCTTTATACAGATAATAAAAATATGTATTATCTATATCTGCAGCTTAGATGAAAAAAGTGTTATCTTTACTAAGCACATAAAAATATTTAAGTAATAGAACTTAAGTATTAAGCGATAATAACTTATTAAAATATGAATATATTTTTATCCCTTTTATAATTTACATTTTTTTTATAAATGTGCTTACATAAACAGCAGTTTTAAAAATAATATTATCTAGAAATGATCTAGATGAATCGCCATATAATTTTATCTTTTATCTGGATATATTTAAAGGAAAATTATCTCTTCTTCTTATCTAATAAATTTACATCTAGCTAATTTTAAAATCACCTAAGCACAACACCGTATATAATATAACTCGTTATTCGCTGAATACAATTCTCTAAATGAAAAAAATTCTGCAAAATTCTCAGACACATTTCCTGGATGAAAGCCGAAAAGTATCGTCGCCGTAATCAAAGTTCAAATCAATTTTACACATAACGCTACCGTATATGCATACGTAATACGCGTAATCTGTGAATATATATGTGTTATTCACTAAAGGAAAATAATCTGCAATAATGATCCAGGCATGGAGAACAGGGTTTTATTCGCGCTTAGCGTATATCTCGGCGCCAACCCACATGTGCGTCTCGCATTAGATACGTGAGTACAAATGAAAGTGGCAGGTACCGTTACCAGAGTGCTGCCTTACACGACAAGAGCTTTTTCCACGATGCGTAAATCCCGTACATATATAATACATACATACGCACGTGCGTTCTTCAGTCGCTTTCGTCCGCCAAAAATTAAGAATTACTTTGTTCTTATTTTTTTATTATCTTTTTATCATGTCTTCTCAAAGGAAAAATAACAGGTCCGTTCTTTCTTAGCTGATCTTATCTCTTAGTCCAGAATTTATCTGTTTACTCCACATTGGAAGGAAAAAGATAAACTCTAAATTGTGCAACCAGTTCAGCTACAAAAACAGATTTAACGTCAAATCTGTCAAAGTTTAATTAATACGTTAAATTTAAAAAAAGGAAGAGTTTTAGACTAGAGTGATATAAGACGTGCGCATACTGTAATTGATTAAAATATAGGCAACTTTTCATAGAGCACGATGGTATTCCTAAATTACAGGACTGAAGAGAGAAGAAAGTCAGTAGAGGAATCACCTAGTATTCAGTTTATATATTATGTATGCTACGTTCTAGTCAATTAGCAGGGGCGTCGAGTGCTCGTACTTCGAGCAAAGGAAGAAACTAATTAGAAATGCGTCGACCAGAGGAAATAACCGTTGTCCAGCGTTTTAGAAGCTTCGGGAAAGAACCCGACGACCTGACCATCGACAAGCTAACGCAGCTCACGTCGATGCTCTCTTGTTCGTTGCTTTATCCACCCGAATTCCTATCTCTGGATAACTGTAACGCTTTTTATTGCTTCCTCGAGATGAAGCACTGCTGAGTCTACACTGAATGAAATCACTGCAATTCCTCCGCCAATAAATGGCCAGAGACGCAATGTAGAAATATTTGCTCGATTCTTGATGGAATCGTTCAGATGACAAACTTGTGTATAAATTTTGTAACGCAATGTTTGTCTTTGTAGGGTGAAATGCTATTATAAAAATAAATTAAAGTTTTTTGCGTAAAGTGTAGAAAAAAGCAGACGCGTTTATGGATAGTATAAATTTCATTAGAGATCTAGGAGAGAGAAAGAGAGGATTTTATGATGAAATTAAATAGTAGTAATATTTAAAAAAATAGCAAATTAAATATTTAGAATTGAGGAATAAAATGGTTATTTATAGTGATAATCGACCATAAATTTCTTGATTTGCATATAAGAAGTGCGTCGCTTTGACGATCTCCGCTACAGTGCGACCCGAACAAGTATGACGTTACACCCAAATTCCTGTCTTCGAATAACTGTAACCCGGTTCTCGGAGCCGGCGATGGTTATCGGTCGTCATCGCTGAAGTTCGCTGACGATTTTCAGCATCTTGAGATGACGAAAGATACAGATGACGATGCGAACTGTCAAAAAATCGGATCTAGAGATCGGAAACAAAATCTTGATATTTTTATCTAAAACGAATCAACCTAAGCAATCTGGTTCTTCTTCTTCTTCAACTTTATCGATGACAGATCTGTCTAATGAGCCCGCAAAATGAGCGTTTTCCGCTCAACCTAATCGTTGACAAAATCGATTTGTCCTTCGTCGAGACTAAATTGTGGAAAAGACGATTGTCACGTGCAATCTTGAAATTACTACATTTTATCGTACAATTGGCGATCAGCTGTAAACTCCGTCGAGCTGGAAACTTCTCGCTTGTCAGAATTCCGGACACAATCGGTCGAAATCGCGAAAGAATTACAAGCAGATCGAATGTGACAATCATATTTATGAAACGCTGCCCTTTAATTTAATTTTTTATTCACTTTGTTTGTCGAGGATAATGTTGAAATGAAGTGTGCTTCAAGCATGTTCGGTAAATTAAGGATATAAATCAAATTATTAATTAAATCCGGATATAATTTCACGCTCGATGAACAACGATTTATCATTTATTTTTTAACATTCCTGACAAAATTAGTAACAGTACGTACATAAATATGCAGTATTATTAAAAAGTCGTGTTTGATCATCAATTAATCATAATTAATGACATAACACTTATACGTCACTAGTTCTTTCCATTACGAAAGAATTTTTACACTTCCCGCTTACGATCTGCACGGCTGAACGTTTGTTTGTCGTCGAAAGATGAATGAGCTGTCCTTCGATAATGAGAGAGCAATTTGTCAAGCAATTCAATATCACCGAGAGATCTCGGGACAATTAATCCGGTTTTGAAATCATAAACGTGATTATAGAGACATAAATGACACGTCGGTCGCGAAAGAGGATCAATGCGCCACTAAAAGTAGCGATTTCAATGGCAAATTAAAACGAGGCAGTCTACGATGAGTCGCTGAAAATGATCGTTAAAGCGTAGCATTTCGCCGTCAAATGTAATTGTCATCTCGTCCATTCTTCGTGAAAATATTCTCATTTATTCGTCACGTGGCAAATGTCATAATTGATTTTATCTGAATTCTATTTATTTAAAAGCTTAGTACAAATCTCGGAATGCTAATAATCAATTACATTGATGAACAAAATGAAGGATGTGACAAGAAATTGTAATCTTGTAAAAATTAATTTCTCGTGAAAAAGTAACGACAGGACGATACAAATAAATAAGCATAAATAAGTAAAAATTAATAAATAAATAATATCGTAGAAAATCAATCTATAATTCTAACTTCTGTTTTTTTCGTCTATGTTTCAGATGTGCGACTGGCGAAAACAGGCCTGGGCCGCCGTTTTCATCAGCAACGTGTTGATCCACACGGTTGTTATCGCCAATCCGATCTATGTTCCTCAATTTCTACCAGGAAGTAAGTACTTTGGATTGCTCTATTATTCGCGGGAAGAGTATCAATAGTTTTCCCTCCAGATAGCATCGATAGTTCAGAGAGAGAGAGAGAGAGAGAGAGAGAGACTATCATCCGGATAATTCAGAAATTATTCTCTCTGTAACGCGTGTTGTTTAATGATCGCAATTTGCTGATTAAATTGCCGTTATGTCTTACGGAAATTAAGCCCCCGACTAATCGATCTTCGATTATAAGTAGCTAATTAAGCACAATTCTGTGAATATAACCGAACTATCTGCATTCTTTCATGCAGCGAGACACTTTTCAAGACCCGCTATTGATCTGAGATAATATTAAGACGCCATTTAAAATTACTACTCTATATTTTCGGCAATATCTGAAAATATAAATTTCGCACAGTATTTTTGTAAAAATGTGCGATGTCTTATGCAAATATCGAATAATAATCTAGTGAAATATTTGTTATATATTCTGATTCTTAGAAATCCATTAATTTCCTCCGCCAACATATTGTTCCCAGCTTTCTGGAATCAATATTGCAAAGCGCGCATTTATAATTTAAATCATTGATTTTAGATATTGCAGATATAGCGTGTATTTTAAACCGATTCCTATACGATATATCCGAGTTCGTCTCGCTCTGGCTCTTTCATGCTCGTTGCATTTTCCTCGTGTGTCAGCTGAGTAACGGATCGGTACACAAATACCAATAACCGGCACAGCAAGGTCCGATCGTTTTCTACGCGTGTGCGTAAGCGCTGTCTTCGTGCGACGACATTGAACCTACCTTGAATTTGTGTTCGAACGGGACGTGGGCGGACTGGTCAGTTTTCTGTAGAAGTGGGTCAGATACGGTCATCGGGCCGCGTGATTTTTCCGTTCGGCCGAGAGATTCCTCAACATTTTTTCGCGCGACCATCTCCCCGGGAATTCCGAAGACGAATGACCCTCTCGTTATATTTACTATTTTTCTCTCGTTATATTCATTATTTCTCTAATTAAAGCTGCATATTTAAATCATCAACAATCTAATCCAATATAATCCTATAAAATTTTAGGATACATCATTGCGACTTATTTAACAATTCAGCGATATAAATCGCTCTCGACCATCGATCGTTCTTCAAAAATTTGTTAACTTAACTAAACCTTTCAACTAAATTACTATTTTGTTAATTGAGCATATATTAGTATTTAAGTCAAATATATATATACGTTTTGTTAAATTGTAATATGCTATATTTAGCTTAAATATTTTTACATGTTCAATTAAGATAATAATATTTAGTCGAAAGATTCAGTCGAGTTAACAAAATTTTTTTATCAGTGAAGAGCACTTTCTTACGATGCGATCCGAAGCGCGAGTGAAATTCTTCGCGCGCAATCGCGCGTGGGCACACGCATACCTATGTATATGAACACATGCAGGTTGAAATTCCGCCCGCTGCACAAAGGCGTCATCAACTTTCTTTCATGACTAACTAACGTGTCACTTCCGCTAGCGCGTATTCTTTAAACGGAAGGATGACCGGCGCGGTAGGACTTTTTTGGTCGAACGCGATCTGACCGACTGACCTGGTAGCTCGAGTGCCTGGAACCGCAAACAATTTTACGCTTGATTTTCCCTCCCGCCGAGTCCGCAAAAGAAAGTAAACAATCGCGGAAAAACGACGACGTTTTAACGGCCCGTTGCTCTCCGAAGCGCGGGAGGATTGCAATACTATTATCTGGCAAATAAAATAAGACGAATTAATCGACAAATTTCACTCGGACCTGACATATAACTTTATGGATGACACTTGGAATTTCTCGTCCAAATGTTACAATTCCATTTTCTCTCTATAGCGCGTCATCTAAAGACGACGTAAATATTACATAGCGTTATTCAACGACGTAAAGTCCCGTGTTCATCGCGCTAAACGATCTGTCACTTTCTTTGGCGCGGTGTGCCGCGAGAATACCGTTCACGAGTTTTCCAAGTGAATGCCGAGAGCATGCCTGGTCCATCCAGGCACGTCGGGTCAGGTATGTCCGTTTAATCACGCCGAGCCGGGACACCCTGGAATGCGTACAGTGATTTCGTTGGACCGAAGATCTCGGAATGAGAGAGAGAGAGACGGAGATAAAGACGAGAGAAGGAGATCTTGATGGTGTCTTAGAGGGACTGTTACATTAGGCTATGACTGTGACCCACTTTTGGGTCGGGCAACTAGCTCATACATTGAAACTTAACGGTACCGAGATGCTTCGCCTCGCCTGACATCAATTCGTTCTTCGTTATAATGCGCCATATACCGTATACCTATTAGCTGTTTATTTTACAATCGATCGATTTCTTGATAAAACCGCAATGATGTGAAACAAAAATTCCAGAAGGAATTATTTGCTACAGGATTTACGATCTCGTGATTTTGCATAACTTAAGATAAGCTTCTTTCCTCAACTTTTGTTCGAGTCCACGTTTGAATGAACGTTGTATATTTTCTCTCTCATTTTTTGAGACACTAATCAACCTTGGAACTAGTGTATCTAACAGTTAGTGTTGTGCTTAGATGATTTTAAAATTAGCTAGGTAGAGATGAGATGAAAATATGTAAATTTATCTTATTGTTATAGATAAGATGGAGAAATGATTTTTTAAAATATATCTAGATAAAAGATAAAATTATATGCCGATTCATTTAAATCATTTCCAGATAATATTATTTTTAGGGCTGCTTATGTAAACGCAGTTATAAAAAATGTAAATTATAAAAGGGATATAAAAATATATTCATATTTTAATAAGTTATAAGTTTGTATCGCTTAATACTTAAGTTCTACTACTTAAATATTTTTATGTGCTATGACTCTAAACCATATTATCTGAATACTATATTCTAAATAATTTAGTAAAGATAACATTTTTTTTCATCTAAAATGCAGATGTAGATAATACATATTTTTATTATTTATATAAAGATAAGATGATGCCAAAATTTTATTTAGATAACGGCAAACACTGCTAACAGATACGAGGGGTTTCAATATAATTGTGCAACGTGATAAATTTGTTGCTAATATTCCGAAATCGTTTTTATATATTTTCGCTTTTGAAAATTCAGGTTTTATTTCGCGGAGAACACGCTTCTTTAAACCTTCCTCCGATGTGCGCTGCTCTTTCGCGGCTAACTGTATTGCACGACCGTATGAATCATTGTCAAGCCGAGACTTCTGTCATTCCGTTATACGCCTCTGATATTTCCGACTTTTTAAGTTTACATCTGTGACATCTGTTTGTTTATCCACTTTCCGCTCCGTCGACGTAATAATACGCTATAAAAGATCCAAAAGGGATTTATTCTGTTATCCCGATTAATAATGCATAATATGATTTCCTATTCTCTAGCAAAAGTGCTTCAACGACGAGATCTTATAAATAATATTATTATACAAACTTGTAACAAAAATTCCATCAAATAATAATAAATATAAGAAGTTTCTTTGCGAACGATATATATAATTATAACATAGTAGGATATTTATGAGACTGCCGGTTTATTTTCAGCCGCTTCGCGCTTATCGCAATTTCGTCGAGTCGAAGCTATCCGTCATATTTGCGTTGCACACTTATTCCTTTTTAATCCCATTTCTGCAATTATGCGCCGTTTATGCCGCCTCGCATCTTCCATCATCCGCGGTTGAACGGACGGCAGGAGCATTAAAGAGGGAATTATAAGCAGATCTACGTTGACGATACGAGAGCAAAGTGTTACGACCGGGAATGTATATCGTCAATGAACAGTTATGGACAACGGGTGAGGATTGATATACGTACATAGTCTTTGGAGGAGATCGGAAAGAAGGAACACGGAAGCATTTATCTAATCGCCATTGACGGCGCGAAGCGAATTTCTGCTCGAGGCTTTCCACACGGTTCATCTCGCGCGGAAGTATTCTTTTCCCCCGTGATAAAGAAGCCTTTACCTTCGCATTAACGCGAGGATAATCTTCCCGAACGGAAGAATTTATATCTCTATCGCCTGAGACAATCGCATATCATTACGAAACATCGCGATAAAGTTCCGGCGATTTATACGTACGAGAGAGGAAAGTGCGATATATATTAAAAAAATTATATTATGTTGCATTTCGCGGAAATATAATAATTGATAAAAATAGTGATATAAATATTGATGTAGATATTAATATAGGTGTAAAAATTAATGTATAAATAAAGATATAAAAATATATACCTTTCTCTTAGAATTTACCCTGCAAATCATGGTAATCATATGGGAGGAATAATATGGTACTGGAAGAATTTTATAAGAGTTTTTCTAATTAATATTTACCACAACAAATAATATTAATATGCATAAAAATTTATTGTAGTAAATATTAATCAGAAGAAAAATTCTTATAAAATTTTCTAATACCATATTCTCCCACAATTACCATGATTTTTTCAGGGTAAATTCTAAGAGAAAATTCTCTTCGTATAGAAACTGAAAAATTGCCAGGATAAGAAAATAATTTTTAATATTTTAAATAAAGATAATAATATATAAAATATAAATATAATTTAATATAAATTAATATAAAAATAATTTAATATAAAAATATTAAGAATTCATCTTTCTATACTCAGTGTTTGCTGTTATCTAAATATAGATAATCATCTAGATGAAACTTTGGCATCAGCTTATCTTTATATAGATAATAAAAATATGTATTATCTACATCTGCACCTTAGATGCAAAAAAAATGTCATCTTTACTAAATTATCCAGAATAATGTTCAGATAATTTAATTTAGGGTCACATAAAAATACTTAAACAGTAGAACTTAAACAATAAACGATACAAACTTATAAATAAAAATATAAATATATTTATCTTTTATCTAGATATATTCAAAACAAAATTATCATTTTATCTAAGCTGAATTCACATATTTTATCTCATCTTTAGCTAATTTGAAAACCATCTAAGCACAACACTGTCTATACTATATTGCATCGAGAATTATTGAAGAATAGGGGATCGATCGAAGAAATCAGTGTGACGTGGAGATTCGCGAGGGACGTAATGTGACGGCACTTTTTTCTTCTCTTCCGTAGACACGGGCAGAAACATCAGGCACTTGCCGTGCGTGTCACGCAGGAGCGGCGAGACCGGCGTGTGCATGTTCGCGTTTACCTGCGCGAAGGCTAATGGCACGCACCTTGGCACCTGCATCGACCGCTTCTACTTCGGTAGCTGTTGCAAGATCGACGACGAGCCGGACATCTTCCCGCAGGACAACAGCATCGACGACGGGCCGCCGCCGCCGCCGCCAAGGCCGTTCATCACCACTCGCAATCCAATCCCGAGCAACAGCATACCGGAGTACTTGGCGAGGCCGAAGCCAACAGATGAGAGAAAACCGGCGGAGACTCCTCAAACCTCGACGGTAAGTAGCGATCGCTAATGAAGCGGCTTCACAGCCGGCCTCGCCACGTGTCAGCGAGATGACAGCTCGAAATCGTTAAAGGCGAATCGATGAAATCGAAGCGTCTCCCGAGACTTTCTTCCTCTCGAGAGTCATTCGAGGCGGAATTTTATAATAAGATATGGACCGATGATAAATCATTCGCCCTTCGTCCTTTTTCATGACGATTCATTTAAATCGCTTTATATTTATTATTATTAGAATTGTATTGTTTAGGATGTTTGTCAAAAAATGTATGACGGTGAGAGTGAAGTAATTTGAATTACGATGCACGAAATGAGACACACATTATATATCCCTCATTCAGGTATTATAATAACTTTCTCTACGTGAGATCATCGAGATAAACGCAGCGGCTCGCGTAATCTCACAATCAAATCATATATTCAAGAAAGAAAGTTGCTCATTAAAACGCTTAATCATCAGCACATATGTAACAAAATGTATGTGTATGAATTTAATACACGAGGTTAAATTTTAGTTTCATTTACCAAGAAATGCTGCAAAAAATAATAATTTTATATAACCAAAAATATAACTTAATTAACCAGTCATTAGCAGAGAGTTGCTTTTTAAAGATCAGATAATATTGATCGAAAATCATACTGTGTCCAGATTAATTATAAATAATTTTATAATTAAAATTGCAATTTTTGAATCACTTGACACGTTAAATTTTAATTTCTTTTATTAAGAATAAATGCTGCGAGAAAATAATGAAAATTATAACTTAATTAGCCAATCAGTAACAGAGAATTGCTTTTGAAAGATCAGACAAAATTGATCGAAAATCACACATGTACTCTGTTCAGATGAATTATAAATCATTTCGACGTATCAATAATTTTATAGACGACGCCTGTAACAATCTCGGGCACTTCGGCGAGTTCATTGAGAGACACTACGAGATTGTCGACGAGAAAACCCACAATCACGACGGTCGAAATGACCACGCAGACCACTCGTCTCACCACGTTCCAAACTGTGCAAAGCGCCGCCGGATCCAGCACGGAAGCCGTGTTGCTGAAGAGCACCGCGAATATCGCGAGCAAACCCACAAGCATATCGCCGAACACGACGAGGCAGTCCACCACGAAGCCGCACACTTCGGCCGCCACGGTGCGACCTAGCAGCGAAGAGGTAACGAGGTTGACGACCGTCGCGACAACTTCGAAAGCGACCACGAAGAGACCCGCGACGACGGCGCAGAAACCGACGGTTCAGACCTCCCTGAAGCCTCTCCCGTCGACCACTCGCAGGCCGATCCTTCAATCGACCCCGACAAAGAACCTGCTGACGACTACGCAACAAGTGCCACCTTCGACCAGATTCCCGCCGAGAAACACGACGACGGCCAAACCGTCGACCCAAGCTGTCAAAAAACCCAGCAGCACCCTCAGCAGCACCAAAAGACCTTCATCCACCGTCGTCGCTACTTTGGTAACGAAACGCCCGGTGACGACCACGAAGAAACCCACGACGCTGACGAAGGTTTCGTCGAGTCCTTCGAAGCCCGTCACAAATTCCAGTCTTGGTAGCACTCTGTCGGTGACGACCAGCGGTACCAGGCCGCCCTCGACTTCTGGTTCGCTCAGCAGCATCGGAGTGTCAACTGCGAGTGTCACGGAGAGTACTTTAGCCTCCACTGGAACCAGACCGTCGACTGTCACATTAACAACGTTGACAACAGCTGCAAGCGGACAAAATGTTTCCACGACGACGAAGAGTCCGAATCAGAGTCCAGTGACTGGCGCGAAAACGACGACTCCCAGGACGACGCTGAAGACGACAACGTCGACGAAGACGTCGACGAAGACGTCGACTGTCAGGACGACAACTGTCAAACCGACGACGATTGCCAAGACGACGACGTCCAGACCGTCGCTGTCAACCACGACGAGAACGAAACCAACTAAGGTCACCAGCACGACGATCAGGACCACTAGACCCGAGCAAGAAAATGGTACCGCGACGACTACAGAGAGAACGAGGCCGTCCTCGTCGACGATCGTCGGGTCGACGGTCAGCGTCACGAGGCCCAAACCAACCACGACGTCGAGGCCGGTGACTAAACCTTTGACGAAAATTCCCATAAACACGTCGTCCAGCATCGCAGAAGTCACCACGAGCATCTCGAGTTCGATATCCACGTTTACCGTTAGGAACGAAAGCACTTCGACCTACGTGCCTCCCACCAAGGGTCAGAATGTTAATCATACCTTGGAGGAGATCCCGTTGACTACCTACTCCCCGGGCCTGGTGACCTGGAGCTCGAACTCTGATGAAGCTACCGCGAAGACTCCCGAGACGTCTTCGTCCACGTCGACGCAGGTTACATCGTCAGGTTAGTAAAATCATTGTTAACGAATTTCTTATTATACACTGAACAAAACATTTATCGAATTCGAATAAATATTTATTTTAATACTGCTTAATAAATCATTTATTCTGTTTAAAACAGATAAATATTTATTTGTTGCAAATAAATGATTGATTAGGCAGGATTGAAATATATATTTATTAATTTAATCATGTTTTTTCAGTGTACGATATCGGATTACTGCTATGTGAGATTAAAGTCTAATATAATAATTTAATTATAATATTTTTAAATTAATTGTAAGATTAATTGTGCTATTTTTCTTCAAATGTATATTTCTTTGAAAAGAAGAAGAGTATTTATCGTTGTCGAGATCGAGAAAGAAAGGCGAAGGAAACTATTATAAATTTACCAGCAATCCGTCAAAACCCGAGCTTTCGCTATTCTCAGTATTTTGATGCATGAGACGTTCGAGGTGGATTACTATCACGATTTCCTATTGTCGACAAGGCCGTCGTGTTACACAATGAACGTTCGTTTTCTTCTTCTTACTTAGCATACGGACGCGAAACAAATAAGAATGCTAATCACGTTTCCGATAATTCCTCGAAGATGGTAATCGATGCCGATGAAGGGAGCATATTTAAAATCCGCGACTGTGCATCGTAGTCGAGTGTAAATCATAAAAATACACGAAGACATCAATTGCAAAAATATGTTACAGAGTAAACGGTTAAGTGAAGATCGAGACGATTTTTTGGATATTATTTGTTTATCAATTTTATTGCATTTTATTGACTTTATTTTAATCATGAATTTTACGAGAGGGAACAAATAATTGATTTTTTACAGACTAAGTTCGCACATTTTTGCTTCGAACGCGTCTCACACATCTGTTTATGCCGAGATAATAAAACGGAGCGCATATCTTTTTCTCTTCCGGATTTTAATATCGCGCTTACAATATAAAAGAGTATTATCCGCTTCTAAAGTTCACGTATTTTTATGGGGTCAATGATTCGGCGTAATCTGTTTCGACCGGTTTCTCCCGAACGTTTCTCCCCGGGCACGCGTCAAGTCCAAGAGAACGGATGCACGTCCTTACACGGCATAATTACGTCTCGTTAATTGCATGCGAAACTAGACTGCATCAAGCGCTGCATAAATAAATAACAATCTAAAAAAATCTGTGCGCCTTTAAAATAATCAATTTTTATTCATTTTTATTTAAAAATAGAAGCATGATACTTTAAAACTTTTATTTTTACTTTTCTTCTCATTTTCATAATGTGGCTTTTTTTAAGATTTAGAAAAAATTCCAATTTTTGTCAAGGAAATTTGAAAGTATTTTTTGGCAAAGAAATTGTTCCGGAAATTAAGTGAATAGAGACGCTCAAATGAATAAATAAAAATATTTGCATACTGTGTTTTATTAAAAGAATTGATTATATAGCTCGAGATCTAGAGTTAATAAAAAATATTTAGCTGTCATATTCTTTTTTCTTATTGTTACATTTTTAGTAAAAATTTTTATTTTTTTGCACGTATCAGAGTAAATCTTCTTTGCATTTATTCGCAGCGTTTAAATATTTTAACAAGTCGAAGGTATCGAAATTTTGCTCCTATTGTCAATCTTAATTTTCTCAACAATTTTATAGATCTTAAATAATTTCGCGATCAGTTTAATTTATATAGGAATTAAGCCTATACTTTATACTTGGAGGAGTTTTCGACAAACTAAATCAAATTCGACTCAACATAAGTCAAATAAATTCAAAAGAGGATAAATCTCCAATCGCTTAAAGTGTCAAAAATTAGCTAAATTGGTTAAAAAATCGGGATAAAAAGTAATAGAAAAAAATTTCATTCAAATAGTCTTATAGACGCGAATCAAGGTCGTATTTACTTGGATCCTAGAAGAGACAGCTATGCGGATCATGCCGTTGCTTCGACACCGCGTCTATGATATACACCATTGAGACGGAACGTCGTAACGGTTCACAAACCGGCCATCTCTTGGGTTCTCCACCGACGCGATCATAATCATCTTTCGTATCTCTATATCCATCCAAGAGTGATCTTCTAATAACTAACTACGCTCCGCGCGTGAGAGAGAACTCGCTCTTCTCTCGACTATATCCCAAATCGGAGAATTAAACCGGTTCGCGCTGCTTCAAATTAACATAACGTATATCTGCTCGAAACTAAGGCATTCTCAGAAACGGATTCAGGGAAGAATTTGTTCTGTTTATTGTTTTTTCGCATATGTAATATATCTTGGAGATAAGCTTGAATTCGAAGTTAATTGACTCCGAATGAATGTTTGATCTTCGTCGCAATAAAAGTCATCTGTATTCTCGTGCCTTAGATCTAACAAAAATTTGGTTCGACTCTTTTGGCTCTTAAGATTCGGGATTGTAATGAAAATATAATTAGCCTTGATTTTTTGTCTGTTCGCTTCGCAGAGCAAGCGGAAACCGATTGGTCCCCGATAACGACCCCGGACAGCTGGATAATGATTCAATCGCCTTCCACCGAAAAGTTACCGCAGACTCAGGAGTCGACGACCGAACCGGTTACGGAATCCACTGTACAGTCTTTGACTTCTGGTAAGACATATTAAATGTAGCCTTTGCGAGCGTTCTCCGCACGGAGAGTTTGCTCGCGATTCAAGAACTTTCAAGAATTGGCGTAATCGCGCAAACGAGCAACAACTTGGAAGAAATATCTTCCAACAAATCGTACTAAAGAAATCAACTTGAAAGCTCTCTCACTATGAGTTTTACTACTGCAAGAACGAATTCGCGTCTGAGAAAATCTGTTGTGAGAATTCCTAAAAATAAAATTAAATAATATACATTTATTTAAAGTCTTAAACGCGCAATCCAAAAGAGAGCAATATTAATTATATTAATGACTATTTTGTTAATAATATATTAATTGTATTTTTAGCCAAACCCATCACGGAGAGCACCGTCAGTCCTGATATCTCGACAAAACCGATCGCGACCACTTTGCCGTCAACGATCACCGGTGTTACGATCGACACGGAACTTCCGGTACCAATGGAGACTCTCAATATGTCGGACTACAAACAAGGTGAATACTTAAATACAGTACGGCCGGACTTGCTTGTTGTAATATATTACGACAAGCGCGCATTATATGCACGGGAATACAAGAAATTGGATCGCGTTCCCACACACTGGGTGACCGGAACGAATCGTTATACTCGACTAGAACTAGTCTCGGGAGTGAAGACCAAAATAACCGGTGAAATGCGGAACCACAGATTCGGGTCACTATCGGAATTCGCGTTATTCCGTTCAATTTTGCCCCAGTTTAACTCTAAAGATCATCTTTTGATCGCATAGCTACGCCTCTTCATCTTCCTCTCGCGAGATAATATTCGACTTCTCGCTTAATAAGAAAGACAACTCAATTCGAACCTTAGACAGCAATTGCCTTCTATAAGTAAAAGATGAGTCTACAAGTACAAAAACCTATTTAATATTCAGTATAGAATTTTCCAACTTTATTGAATAGTCTGATATTGCAATGTGCGTAGTGTTGGAAATTTTCAAAACCATTATTTTCACTTTTAGAATTTATTTCTACACTGAAAAAAAATTATTACATTAATAAATATTTATTGCAATGTTGCCCAATAAATTATTTATTTGAAACAAATAAATACTTATCTGTTTTGAAAAGAATTTTCTTATATCAAATAAATATTTTTCACATCAAATCGATATTATTAGTTTCGAATAAATTAAAACGAATATTTATTCAAATTCAATAAATTTTGTTTTCAGTATAAGAAATCGCTCTACAATTCTCTCTATCTTTCCGTACTATTTTACTCAAGTGACTAATTAAGACGCAATACATATAACGAACGCTGTAACTTACAAACTTACGTCTATTCTATTGCTTTTTGCGTTATTACGTCTAAATTGCCTGTCATCGTTGGTAGCGCAATTTAATTTAAATAATGACGGTATAATCATAAATAAAATTTGCGCCTGTATATCCACGAAGAATTATGTTTGTAATTTCCCGTAATCAATGAGACGCAACAATCGCGAGTGTCGCATAATATTGTGCATACGGCAGAAAAATAATCCCAATTCCGCCTGCGGGCAAAGACGAAAGAATTAAATGAGCGATGCATCCGCGCAACGGTACCGTCGTTTATCCAGTCGAATGAACACAGTCCGTCCGTTCTCCAACATGAATTCCGTCCAACTCGCGAATTTGCTTAAGAGTATGAACTCGACGATGCTTATCCTTGCAGTGTGCGGACGAAGGCTGTTTCCGGAGCCTAGGATTGTCGGTGGCGATCGGAGCTCTTTCGGAAAATGGCCTTGGCAGGTGAGCATCGCATTGCAAGTCATTATATCATAATCAAAAACATTTTTTATCATTTTATTTCAATATTAATGTCTAATAAAACACACGAGACTCGTAGCTCGAGATTTTGATCGAAATCGTGCGGTGATGGCTTTTTTTAGACATACAGGAAAAGGAAATCCAATCATTAATAACACTGTATGTGATGAATAATAGTAGTTTTTTTTTCGTATCAATAACAACAATTATTCACGTATTTTATTGAGTCATTGAGACTCTCAGACACGATAAACTTCCTTGCAGATCTCGTTACGTCAATGGCGATCGCAGACTTATCTACACAAATGCGGCGCAGCGTTGTTGAACGAGAACTGGGCTATTACCGCGGCGCACTGCGTCGAAAGGTAAGTGTATCGCGTGTGTTTGCTGTGACACTAATAATACAGTTTTTTCTCCTCATCTCGAGAGCCAGTCCATTTTTCTCGGAATATACTTTGAGACTTTTTGCGCCCGCGCGTGTCTATAATCTTCTCCTTCGCGCGATGAGAAACGATTGTCTCTCCGTCTGTACAAACATTTTCTCATCTAGCACATTCCAGAGGCGGAGGAGGATAAGAAGATTAACACACGGTACTTTTCCGTCGTAAAACAAAATATCGTACAAAAGCTTCGTGTCGTTTCTCAAGAATCGGAATTGCGACATTTTTTCTACGCTCTTTAGTATTATCATACGTCATGAATTTTTTTTCTAAAATTAAGGAACTCCTAAGATTATGGAATTTTTTAAATAATATATTTAGAGCCGGAAAAGGCTCTGAGATATATATATATATATATATATATATAAACAAAATTAAATTGTGAAAAGATTACGAGTCAGGCAAAAATATTATAGAGGTGTAACAAAATTATTTTTCAAATCTCTCTATGCTTATTTTGGAGCAAATACTCTATACTAGCCTTTTTATACCTGAATTTAAATAGGATTTTTTAAAACAGATTTATTATTCATTATAATTAAATAATAATAAAATTAAATTTATATAATAATATATTAAATTTATATAAATAAATAATAATAATATATTATATATAATTTATATATTTTATATTACTATTAATATTATATATATTATTATTTTATTATATATAATTATTTATATATTATAGAATTTGTAATATACATTACATATTATATATATTTCTTGTCATTATTTAAAATATAACGCGAGATTCAGCAGCATTTTGTCTCCGGACGGACAATTTCCTGAAGAATTAATAGAACAATATGTTTTTTGCAGTGTGCCACCGAGTGATCTGCTATTAAGAATCGGCGAGCACGATCTGGCAAACGAAGACGAGCCATACGGATATCAAGAAAGAAGGGTGCAGATCGTAGCGAGTCACCCTCAGTTCGACGCGAGAACCTTCGAGTACGATCTCGCCCTTCTAAGGTTCTACGAGCCTCTTCTACCCTTCCAGCCGAACGTCTTGCCCATCTGCTTGCCCGATGACGATGAAACTTATGTCGGTCGTACGGCCTATGTTACTGGCTGGGGCAGACTTTACGACGGTATATACCTGCATAGTTGCATCTAACACGCGTTAATTGACGTTAATGTTAAAATTGGGACACTTTAAGAGAGAGAGCGATTTTATTGGGGGTCGTAAATAAATTTTTCTTTTATCCTATCGTGGAAACGCTTGAGAGAAATATGTTAATTTTTTCGCGGGTTTTTTTTTAGAGGGACCACTGCCGTCCGTATTGCAGCAAGTTTCAGTACCTGTCATTAATAACACCGTATGCGAGGCGATGTATAGAAACGCGGGTTACATCGAGCACATTCCGCACATTTTTATCTGCGCCGGTTGGAGAAACGGTGGATTTGACTCCTGCGAGGTCAGTATTTTGTATTTTGCATGGATTAAGGACGCAAGTGCATTTAGCACTAAAGTGTTAGAAAATTCTTTTTATTTTTTAAAAAAATAATAATAATAGATAATCTCCGGAATATTGTAGACTACCTACAATTTTTGGATAAGCCCAAGAGTTTAAGAAAAATGTTGAACATGTAGGAATAGCATTAAAATCTTATGAAATGTTTTCCTGTCAAGTTATATTTTTCGGTCCTTTTTAAGAATTTTTAAATTTATTAAAAATATTATCATTAAAAAACTTTCTGTTTTCTCATAAATGATTGTGACATAATTTCATATAACTGCACTCTTTCCCTTAATTGAAATTTATCAATTATGTTATTAATCAAATTCTTTGTGTAAAAAATTAAAAATAGAAATTATACAAATGTATGTGCATATATTTATTTTTCACAAATAAGCAGTGTTGTACTTACAATTATTTTAAAATGATCTAATTAAAGATGAGATAAAAATATGTAAATTTATCTTAAATAAGATGATGATTTTGAATGTTAATATAAAAGGATAAAAGATGAAATTATATAGCGATTCATCTAGATAACTTTCAGATAATATTATTTTTAAAATCGCTTATAAGTAAACACAGTTATACTAAACAAAATTATCTGAACATTATTCTAGATAATTTTTTTTCATCTAAGATGCACATATAGATAATACATATTTTCATTATCTATATAAAGATTAGATGACGTCAAAATTTTAGATGATCATCTATATAATTTCATTTTCTATATAATTTCTATTTAATTTAGAATTCTTTATAATCATCATCTATATAATTTAGAAATTTCTAGATGATCATCTATATAATTTTATTTAGATAACAGCAAACACTGCAAAGCAGACTAAATTTTCATATGTTTCTCAGCTTGACGAAACGTTGCATAATAAATGTGCATTATTATAAAAGCTTGCAGCAATGACATATCCCAACTAACAACCCTCTATTCCTTTTTAGGGCGACAGCGGCGGCCCGATGGTGATTCAAAGAACGCGAGACAAGCGGTGGATCCTGGCCGGGATCATCAGCTGGGGAATCGGCTGCGCCGCGCCGAATCAGCCCGGCGTTTACACGCGCATCTCGGAATTCCGCGAGTGGATCAATCAGATTCTGCAGTTCTGAAACCTCGTCGGCGGCGGCGAAAGCTCGAAATTCGCGCCCTTTCGTGCCGCGCCGACTCCTTCGGACATTCGAGACGACCGCTGAGCGGACAAACGGCACCATCTGCCGGAGCTGTGAGCCAAGTGCAATTTAGTGCGAAAAAAGGGGAAAAAAAGATAAGAGATCCAGGGCGGGAATTCGCGTGTTCCGACCTCGGACGAAGTATGGCGCCACCGATTCGAAAGTAAAGTTCTTCGCTCGAATCTCTCTTCCCTGATCGAGGCGACCCACCCTTGAAGGGATGAGATAAGTGACAAATGTACACTGAGAAATCTCTGATGACTCTGAAGACTCTACTTGAATCCGATTTTGAAACGAATGATATGAAAAATGCGCCGAGCGCATTTGAAAGAAACACTCGCGGAAAGACGCGATTTTTTTTTTTTTTTATTTCTAACACAAATATTATTGACGGGATTTAATGTGACGTAACGATTATATATTAAATTACTTGTGTCTGATGCACAATTAATTTAATCGGCGTATGGAACTAGGATCGGGATCGAATCCGGGACCTGCCGATTACTAGTCCTCTTACGCAGAGAGCCGACATGTCATCCCATAAGATTTTATATCTTCTTATCATCGTATATGTCAGATTTTTCCCGAATAAAAATTCGACAATTCGGTGAAGGATCAGAATAAAATTGTGGTACTTTATTCATATCGAATTTCGCGGCCTTTGCTGCGAATGGACAAAGAATAAAATTATATGTCTCTTATAGCTCTCTAAATATTATATATAATTTCACATATAGAAAAATTGCAAAAAACATCTATGCGGGACAACCTATACATAAGGGTGTATTTTTCAGCTTTTGCCTATTTATTTATAATTTATTTTCGGAATAAACGTGTGAACAGAACACACAAAAAATCTCTAAATTATTAAATAAAATACAAGAGAGACTTTACGTTTATCCGACTATTTAAATTTTAATTTGCTTTAGAACGCTCTCTCGTAAAAAAGTATTGTTTCGTAAACAATCTGTAATCTTGGCTTTTAATTGTTATTTTTAAAACTCTACACTGCTAGCGATGTCAATCACATGCAGTTCCTTTTTCTCTCGTGAATCTTATTATAGATTTCCATAATAATTCTCTGAGCGAATTCTCCAATGGGAATTTCAATGCGTTCGCGTTGAAGTTCCATGAATATCCAGTTATCTCGATTGATCCTGAGGAGAATCGTAGAGAAATGCGATTTCCTACAATCTTCTGTAAATTCTGACTCTCTCTCTCTCTACAATGAGTATATATATATATATATATATACTTCACTTTGTAGTTACTTGAGTCTAGTCTCAAGCAGAAACGAACTGACAAATGCTACGATATAAAGGCAAAAATATGCTCTTTAATTTCAATAGCTCGTATCAACGATCGAGCAACTCGTTATGTACATTTTGATTAAAAAAATATTCGATGTTATTATAAGTTTGATTGTAAATCGAGAATAGAGAAAAAAATGTAAGCGCATCTGTATCGCGTTATACATCGAGAGATATTATTTAATTTAATTTATAAATAAAAGTATAGAAAGAATAGATTATATTATATAGGTATACACTTAACGTAAATACAGAGGCAACACGAGACAAGAGTACGCATAATTATGTGTAATTTATATAACATGTGTAATTTATTCGCGCATGTTTCAAGAGGTTCATATAGATATACTGTGTAGCGTATATTTTTAAATGACATTTGTCATATCTTAATTAATTATTCAAAAACATCGCCCTCGATTACGTCAACGCGTTTAACGCGATCCTATATGTTTTTACTGATTATAATTGAAACGTGTAGAATTACATATATCGCGTTTCCTCGTTATCGCGAGCGTTATATGTTTCTCACTAATTAAACACCATCGATAAACATTGCAGCGCGACACTGCAATCGGAATAACGCGATTTTGACGCATTTGTAAATATATATATTGTATTTTGATTGTGGATTTTGTGGTGTAATGTGACGTGGTGCCTGGAAGGATATGATGCGGTATGACACACCCTGTCTTTCTCTCTCTTTCATCTACATACAAGGTGTCCCAAAATTAATAGTAAATGGTAAATTCGTGGGATCATTTGGAAACGATTTTTTCTCAGCGAACACGTCGAGGGAGACCATCATTTTTTGCACGTTCCCAATTTTCGTCATCTTCATCTTCGTAATTAAGTCTTAAATTAAAATTCTATATTAAAGTAACCTCCACATAAAATTAATAAAAAATGTGATTTTGTTAATATTTTATTTGAATCGCTTATAACTAGAAAATGATCTCGACATTTTCGTCTAGGAAAAATCGTCTCCGCCAGTTTTGAAACACCCTATACTTTTTAGAGTCTTGGAGTAAAATAAAAAAAGATTTACTAGTTCTGGGACACCCTGTATACCTATATGCACTTTTCATCACTTGTCATTATATCCGTCCCCATTTTTTTCCTTAATTGACAAGCGATCAAAAAGCTATCGTATTAAAAGCGCATCCGTCAAAGGTTCAAACTCGAACTCGAGTATGGATCCCGTATGTCTTTTTGTCTTCCCCTATCTTTCGTCCCGTAATGCATATTTACGACTCTTCGCGTTTCATTCTAGCCGACTCACCCCTTTTCTCCTATCGCCACCGCCCAATCTCCGCGCGAACAACGGCGTGGGTGTTTGATATTTGCGCAGTAAGGGAGTCGATGATTTCGAACATCGCCCACGCGTCGCAAACGCCCACTGCACCCTGGGCTATATGCGCCAGCGCAAACGGCTTGGAATTTTGCGAAAATTGAGTTCACTTTAATGAGATACCCGGGAGCATTCGAGACCAGATTGCGATACGACGCCGTGAGTGTTGCACGAAAACTTTGACATCATTAAAAGCATACATTACGAAAATATTTGAATATATTCGTTCAATTCTTCACCTTCCTTCTTTTCCTCTTCAGGTGTTAAGGGGATGCTGACTGTGTCTGTTTTTTCGATAAATATTATTTTTATTTAACCAGTGTTTGCTGTTATCTAAATAAAATTATATAGATGATCATCTAGATGAAACTTTGACGTCATCTTATCTTTATACAGATAATGAAAATATGTATTATTTATATGTCTGCATCTTAGATGAAACAAAGTATTATCTTTAGTAAATTAATCTAGAATAATTGTCAGATAATTTTGGTTTGGAATCATAGCACATAAAAATACTTAAATAGTAGAATTTAAGCAGTAAGCGATAAAAATTTATAAATAAAAATATGAACACATATATTTTTATATCCCTTTTATAATTTACATTTTTTTAATAACTGTGTTTACATAAGCAGTCTTAAAAATTGTTATCTAAAAAATGATCTAGATGAATCGCCATATAATTATATCTTTTATCTAGATATATTTAAAACAAAATTATCTTCATCTTATCTAAAATGAATTTATATATTAATTAACTATTTATTGGCTATACAGTATGAAATGGATTACTATATGTATATTAAAAAAAAAACAAGAAAGCTAAATAATTACAGTTTTTTTATCAGTCTTTTGCATTAGGTCAACCTAACTTAAACACTACGAAAACTATAATTATTTAATTTTCTGGGTTTCTTTATAAATACATATATATAGTAGATTTGTTATTATGACTACTTTAATTCTAGTAAAAGGTTTTTCATTCTATAGACCCAATAAAGAACTGAATGAAAATAATATTTGTCAATGAAACAGACGTAGTCAGCATCCCTTTATTTTTCAAACATATTTTAAATTTGATTGGCAGACCAATTAAGGGAAATAAAAAATATTTGAATAAAAATAGAATCAGAATTGTTAACAAATGCAATTTATACATTGGCGAAATATTTTATAAATTTACCATTGTATTCTATAAATATAAAATTCCGGGTAAGCGGAAAGAACGTCGATAAAAATAGCTGTAAATGAATACAGGAGGAAAAATGTCGCGAGACAAAAAAACTTCCTTAATTAATTCTCCAATTCACGCATCCATTCATCGTGTTTCTCACGCTAGACGTTACAGCGTGTTAAACGCGTTGCAAAGGGCCAGCCGTAAATTTTCTTGAGGCTAACGGTACGGCTATAATCATTAACGATCGAGCCCACGCTCGAAAGAATCAACTTTCCTTCCCGCATAATAGATAGTGATCGATCAGCCGTAAAACATCATCCCAAGATACAGTTAAAATTCGCCACGACGACTTTAACGAACGTTTCACCACTACTTATCTCAGATGCAAATTCGATTACTATTACGTGTTGTATATATTTATATTGCCATTTGTAGCGCAACGAAACCGATTTCGCGTTGAATGTAGCAGAACAGATTTGAATTCCTCTCAGACGAGAGGAAGACGTCTGAGAGGAAAATTCTCTGCGCGATAAAATCTGTCGGAAATCCTGTTAGTCATCTCTTGAGGATTAAAGAAGTGCGCAAAGTATAAAGAAACTCCGTTTTCCTTTCTTTCCGTTTTCTTTTTTTTTTCAAAAACAAGTCTTTACAAATTTAAAATGCCATAAAATACGTAGGAGAGAATTACAATTTTAGTGAATAAACACACGAAGAAAAATCCCTTCGGGGCCTCAAATGTAGTTGCACGTAATTACGTCATGTTGTGCGCACACAATGCACTTCAGAATTTTTTTTATTCTGCGTGGATAGAAAAATTACGGAAACAATTAATAGCTTAACATATAAAGCAAATTTTATTTTTAATGAATTTCACGTAAATAAAATTAATTAAGTTTTAATTTAAATTCGTTTAAACAATTATCACGTTGGATCTAATTTTTATTAAAAAGGCATTTCGCGTAAATTAGATAGAGCAGTAAAAGGGTATATAGAATTTCTAATACACGTTGTATGCTCTGCGATAATTATAAAATAATAAAGTAAATGTCCAGCATTAATGAGAATTGAGATTGAAAAGCTCGTTACTTTATTATAGTATAACAATAGAAAAGAAAGATCGCACAAAGATCTATCATCACTTTAATGTCAGAGGTAAAAAGATTCCACCTACGTTCCTTCATTATAATTGTAAATAGAAATGACTTAAAGACAAAATTACTATTGATTTATCTGTGTTTTTCTTTCTGTACAAGAAGCAGATTACTTACAATTAATCTCAAATAAAGTTCCTTTTTGTAACTATACTATAACAAAAAATTGTAGACAAAAATCTTTTTCAGAATTTTCCTCATCTCTGTTTCCCTTTTTTTTTATTTTAGTTTTTTTCAATTTAAAAGATTTGTTTAAAAATATTGTTAAAACGTTTGTTTTAAAATATTGTTATATGAGATTCTTTGTGAATTCAAATTAAAATAAAAATACAATATAAAGCAATATATTTTATAACTGTAAAATAAACAACTTTCATTTCAGTTGTCCAGTTAGATTTACAGCGACAGCTGACGCACTTGATATTCCATGATTAAAATACGAATCGGCCTAGAAAGGAATCACGGTTTTTAGATTATGTTTAATAGGGCAAACACGACACAATCATCGCCGCAGATTTATACGACAGCACAATTCGTTCGGAATGCGATTCTTTCTCTCTCTCTTTTCTCCTTTCATGTGATTTCATTGCCGCGCTGTGGTTCAAACACTTGGCAAAATAAGCTTGTTAAAATAATATTTGCACTAAAACGCTATTTAAGCGGACAACATTTTCCTGGCATAATACGAGTAATGAAATTCAACGATGTAATTCATCCTGTTGCTCGAGCACGATGTAGGTGGACACTTGATTTTGTTAGACCTTTTCGAGATTTCAACGATATGAAAATATATAAACTTGCTATAAAAAATTCTTTATGACATTCAATTTTTTATAGTTTACGAAATTGTCTTAAATCAAAATAATATAAAACTGTTTTTTGTTATCTCTTGTTATTTTTTGTTAAAAATCTATTATATTTGATATATTTGAATTGTTTATTTAAAAAATTGAAAAAGACCCGATTTATATATACATACACATATAATTACTTATCAGTTATTAAAAATTATATGTGTATGTATCTATAAATCGGATCTTTTTCAATTTTTTAAATCAATATTATCATGATAGATTTTTTATCAGTTATAGAGAAAAGTATATTTTCTAAAACAAGTAATAAAATAAACATGTAGATAATTGAAATTGTTAATTGTCGGAAAGTGATTGTAAAATCACAGATGATATTTTAAAAAGCCAACAAATTCTATTCTGTAGAGTTGTAGAGAATCTATATCTGATACTATTTATAAAAGCTGCATTAAACCTCATTGATTTGACAAGAAAGAAATATTTGAATAAGAATATTTCTAGCTATTATTATCCACGATGACGATTATTCCCTACATCTATATTTATTTTCCTTCCTACACATTTTTTAAATCTGTTTTTGATTAAAGTTTTCCAGGAATGTTTTCTCCATTTCACATCTATTTCGGCTTTGTCGCGCGCTTGTAATTATATTAATTACACGAATAAGTTTATGTATATAAATAAGAAGTATATATCATATATATAATCACTCAATTTAACATATAATAATCATCAATAATTTTTCAATCAAGTAGATAAATAGAATTTAAATAAGCAAAATTAAAAAAAAACTGTAGAATAAATATTTGGAATTAGGTCAATGTATATAGTATAATTAAGCTCAAGCTTATTATCAAGAGACATAATAGCACTAGCTAACTTGGAAAATGGGAAGCAGTTGAACGGTACGATTAGACCTTGTTTGACACTGAAAGCACCACATAATCAAGTAAATCGCTTTGTAGATAGTTACAATTCCATGTGAAACTGCACAGTTATAGATATCATTTCGTATCGAAAGCATTGGGATCAAGTGAAGTAGATTTTACTTTAGAAAATTGCAAAAAGACTGATAATTACATCATACAATTATATATATTAATTCAATATACAATAGTTCTGAGAATTTTATGGTACCATAAATAAAGTAGTTTATTTAATTACAACAATTGTGTATTGATAAAATATTAATATATATATTTTTCAATTTATAAATGGAATTGTGCATAAATCATAAAAATATGTATATAAATTTATGCATTATAAATTGATATATTTAAATTATTTTATATTTATCAACAATCAGTTTTCTAAGCACAAAATAAAAGATTGAACTATATTTTTTTTATATTCAGCACTGTTCAACTATAGTCTCCTATTTCACAAGATTGTGAATATTTTGAAATAATAAAAAGTAAAAGTAAATTGCAATTGCAATGAAACAATACAAATATTGTAAGCATGTTTACACAAAGAAATATCTATATTATCTAAATAATATAAATATAATTGTTTAACCTGGCAAATTTCATTATTTGATTTCAAAAGTGTTATAAATAGAGTTGCTTTATTAAAAAAAATGTAAAAAAATGCCAAATCCATGAACTATATTTTTAAAGAGATAAAATATTCATTAAAGAATCATTCTAATAATTTTCTAGATAGAGGCGCGTGTGCTTGGCGTCTTTTAAAAAACTTTTTCAAACATTTTTAATCAACTTTGTTACTATGAATTTTATTTATAGAAGTAGTTTCTACGCGTTACATTTAAGATAGCGTAATTATATATACGCTAGCATAATAAATTTCAAACTCGTAAGAAAAACCCGATAAAGAGAAATTATAAACTTTGTAAAATCTGCCGCGCAGAAATATCCGTCCGTATATACAACATATGTAAAATTCCAAGTAATATTTCTCAATAAATTCCCACATTGTAAAATTAACTCGAAGCGCACGTATCGATCCCGCTTAAGCTGAAAGCAAAGCTTTTCAGCAAGACTGATAGAGAAAAGCCGAGGGATAATTTTATATATTATAAAATTTCACTCTGGGTACTCGATAATAGG